TTTAAAATGATATGTTTATCATGTATTTGATTATGTTTATCTGCAGTTAGTTACACGAATTCAGATATGGAGCTTTAATAAGTTGTACTTACGCACAATTTACTTGCAATCTTGAGTTTTAAGTAATATGCATTAATAAACAGTATTTTACGCATAAAAAATGATTTTTAAGAGTTTTTGTCAAATGTTTTATAATATAGTATAGATATATTAAGAATTCATTTATAAGGGGGTGTTTATTGCTTATAAAAATAATTTATTGATTTATTCCGGTGTGACACCGGTAATAAGTATTTTTGAGTGTTTAGATAAACAATTTATACCGGTGTCAAACCGGTGATAAGGAGTTCTTGAAGAAGTTAAACTCTTATGACTTATAAGTGTTTTTGTAGAAAAACATAAGTTATTTCAAATAAGCAATCTCAAACACCCCCCAAGACTTTCTTCATTTTAGATAAAGTTTCAAAGAATTTGTAAGAATATAAATTTTTCCAAAATCTTTGTTTCCTGCATTTTGGAGAATATGTTCTTAATGGCAAAAAGTGAAATGGAAATGGAAGTGAATTCAATAAAGTTTAACCAAATGTTGGATTGCTAAAATTTGAAATGGTATTTGACAGTAGAATTGGAATTTAAATGTCTGGTTGGTCATTTAAGGTGTAGCATTTTATGACATGAACAATTTCTCTTATTATGACCGTTCAATATATCTATGAAGTTCATCACAATGATGATTATTCATCTTACTTTGGACTCAACTCTCACGTAGACCATGATTAGTAAGTTTTTCGTATAAACTCCAGTATTTCAACCAGGGTCCAATCTTGTTCCACTTCTTAATGGTAGTTGTTGGTCAGATCCTAATATTCAAACTGGTCATATAAAATTACTGTAAATCGTAGTAGAACGTGTGAGAATCAATTTTAAAATGGAATGGATAATCGTCAAGTGACTCAAGTTATCAAAAAAACTATAAAGGATGTATAGATTTGTGTCATTTCTCCGTCTATTTTTTGACCTGTTAAATGAACAATCACTAATCTTTAAAATTTTAAATCATGATCATTTATATGTTTTTGTTTTATCTATACAGTAATTCAATCATTTAGCGGTTAGATATTCTTTATACCGTTCAATATAAGACATTTTAATTAAAATAAAATGTTTGATTTTTAATTAAGGGGCCGTTTACTAAACACTTATCTGGTGAGTATTGATCGGGTAACTTTCCTCACCTGATGCACATGGCAAGGGCCGAAAATCTTACCCGGTAAAAGCGATGATAATGATAGAGAGTCTTACTCAGTAAGTGATGATGAGGACTCTTAATCGGGTAAGTATTTACCGGATGAATTGTTGTATATGATACCGTTTTAATATACTACAATTTTATCTGATAAAATAGATTGGTGTTGATTCCTACAAGAAAACGCTTACCGGATAAGTATTTAGGTAAACGGCTCCTACGAGTAGTTATGGACTTGATCATGTGGTTTAGGGGTTTTCTTGGTTATCCTCCCTAAGCTTTATTTATTACAAAACCCAGGTGATTTGCAGTTTGTTTTGAAAACGTCCACTCTCCCAACATTCGTGTATTACATCATTTAGATATGAGGGTAAAACAACCATTTTACAGTTTCGATCTAACATATTTCGCAAATAAAAAAAAAACCATCTTCTTTTTTAACCTCTAAACCTGTAGATCTTGAATTTTATATCACCTTTTAAGAACGCTAATAAACACCTAATTCCATCTTTGATCCCCCCATGCCCACGTTGGTTTTGTGCATGCACCTCCACCACCCTCCCTTCCCTCTACATACAACGTCAATCTACAAAATCATACGTTTGCATCTACAGTTCTAAATCAATTTTGAGATCCCGTTCCCGAAGCAAGTGTCCCACCCTTCTGTTGTGTCGTGTTGGGCACGAACATCCCATCATGTGCTGACATGCTTGACTCAGAGTTTGATTCATAATTTCTATCACAAACTGTTGAATAAAATTGTACAAATTGTTGTTTGAGTTTATATTTTCTTGATGATCATGGTTTTCTTTAATATATTTTTGATTGGTTTTTGAATAAATTTGTTGTTAAGTATTCTTGATGGTTAAGGTGGAAAAGATGAAACTTAGGGGTGTTTGCGGTCTAGTTTGGGTGGTTTAATCCCCCAAACCACAAAACAAAGGCAAAGGCGGTTTAAATTTTTTCTAAACCAAGCAATTGGCCTCAATTAACCAAACTGGTGAAACTGAACCACAAAAATGCGATACGGGCTAACCGGTTTACACGTTGAGCTTCTTATGGGCTTTAAACTAAACAAACATAACACCTATATCTAAAATGAAATTTATACCGGTATAACGTTATTAAAAATAGTATATGAAATTATAAAAAAAATATCGAGCAAATTGAAAAAAATTAAACAAGTCCACTAACTATAGTTGGAATCTTGGACAAACATTGAGCAAGTCGAAGGATGAGTTGGAATTTTCGATTTGATTTTTAACGGATTTTAGGATTTTGTTAATTTAAATAATGCGAACAATTGAAAACGAAAACTAAAACATAATACCTTGGACTTCTTAATCGGGCCACAAAAGTTGAGTCTATAACATGAAAACAAATATAATTAATTGATGTGTACTTTTGGCAGTCAGTTTGGCATAGACTGCTAAAAAAATGTTCAAATTGCGAACCAGACCAGACCGAACGGTTTGACTATTTTTCAGGCATGAATGACCGCCAAATTGCTAAAACGGTTCGATTTAACTTGGTTCCGCCTATTCAAGCGATCCAAAGATTTTTTTGCATACCCCTAATAAAACTATAAAGAAAAGTAAATTAGATTTTTTTTTGGGTAAAATGACAATTTTACCTTTAAACTTAACAGATATAATAAACAGGTGTTGCGAGTGAGAGATCGTTTTTGAAACAAACTGCAAAGCACCATACCTTTTTTTTTGGTAATAAATGAAGTATATGAACGACAACCAAAACCTCTCCTAAACCACATAGACCAAATCCATAATTTACTTCTTAATTAACTTCCAACATGAGACAACCAAACTATAATATATTTATACAGTTGCGGTCATGAGAGATCACTTAGTTTTTGTAAGACTGCGAGATCATATTTGATGCACTGATCTCGTCAAACCTTCACAAAGAACACTGAGACTTCACTACGGAACACCAGACATTCATAACAAAACACCAAACCTTCACATAAAAACACACAACAAAACCTTCACATAAAACATATGTGAAAACCTTGACAATGGCCCCGTGAGTCTCTCGAAAACTAAGGTGTTATTTGTTTTAAAAAACCCTCTTATTGATCAATTATGTCTTACTGAATAAAAAGTTAGGCTTATAAGACTGTTAGAATTCAATAATTAAGTCATCTATTTTTAGTTTAGTAATATAAACTTTTTATAAAGATAACAATTAATATTTTGTTAGAATTCAACGATTATCCTAAATATATTTTAAATTTTTTATATTTAAAATGAGATACATATCCAATATTTGATTATGTTTATCTGCATTTAGTTACACGAATTCAAACATGAAGTTTTAATAAGTTGTACATACACACAATTTACTTGTAATATTGAATTTTAAGTAATTTGCATTAATATACAATATTTAATGTATAAAAAATAGTTTTTAAGAATTTTTATTAAATGTTTATAATAAAATATAAATATAATATTATATTATATAAACTAAAACAGTTTTTATTTTTATTTTTATTCCCATTCTAATTGATTACTGCTTAATACCGAATTCGATGCATCGTATCCATGTAAAACTGAGCGTAGTTTTGGATGATTTAGAATATGTAGGCCAGGTGGTACAAGTCGCATACGATTATTTCCTCCGTGTCATAAACATGCACAAAAACTGAAAACTCATCCCTGACCCTGAGGCTCTGATATTACTAACGTTTTAGCCTCGAATTACATCCGATTGAAACTTCGTCACAAATCCAAATCAAAATTCAAATCCGACCTGCCAACACTATCATTCATCTTCTCCTTCCCTGTTTCTAGATCTCTTATACGGATCTTCAATTATTTCAACCTAAAACCCTAAAAGATCCCATCGAAAACCATACCCTATCAATCAAGGAAAGAAAGGAAGCTTGTATCTATTCCAATATTAGATCATATTTAACCCTAAAATTAATGTTTCAATTTTAGGTTTTCAGCTGTAAAACAACTTACAGTTGATGCGATGGTGGTCTGCAAGTGCCGGAAGGTATCCCCATTTTCTCCTCCTTTATCTTAACGTAATTTTTGGGTCTATTTACGTTATTATGCTAGGTTTCATTTTCGGGGATGGAATGGAATTGCGTTGAATATGATACAGCTTTTAGATCAAATCGTGCTACATTGGAGTGAATCTGGGATCTTAGATCCCAATTCGCAAAGATGTATTTATTCGGTAATCCTTTTTAGATCGCACTACTTCACGCAGTGGATTTATTGATGAACACTACAAGCAATTCAATTCACGATAGAAGTTGACTGCAGTTGATGCTGAGTTTGCCGTGCATACTTTTTCTTGTTTATTGGTAAGATTGAGTACTAACCATAGCCGAGGTGTTGCTCACAGGCAACCAAATTGTACTGCTTCGTGCACAAGGTCCCCGTTTGTGGAGAATGCATATGTTTTCCAGAGCACCAAATTTGTGTGGTAAGTTGTAATATTTGATATAGGATATAACAAGTGTTTGCATCTGTCATGCTGGTCACCTTATCATAGATTTCATGTCAGTTGGTTGAGATTATCTAGTTGATTTCATAGGTTCGTTCATACTCAGAGTGGGTAATCGATGGAGAGTATGACTGGCCCACAAAATGTTGCCACTGTCAAGTTGTGCTCGAAGAAGGCGGTGATTCTCAAACGACACGGCTGGGCTGCTTGCGTATGCTATTCTGCACTCAAGAAACATGCATCATTTGTTTTTAGTTATAGAAGGTGGACCATTGAAATCATATCACCTTATGTTATTTATTTGCGTGTTTTCAGATATCATACACACAAGTTGCTTAATTTCAAATATTAAAAGTTATCCTCTGCACACTGCTCCAGCTGGATATGTTTGCCCGGCATGTTCAACTTCGGTAAGGTCTACTTATATGATTATGTAGTGAATACCTGTTTATCCAATCATGAGTTTGGTTTTCAGTTTTCACTGAAGATGGTCTAGACCTTTAAACCTGTGACCTTTATCTAGTTTATGCGATACTTGCAAGAAAGCAAGTAATATTGGAGCAGTCGTTGAAGTCTTAACATATGATAGAAGCCTAAACCTACACACAATAACGTGGGTCCTGTCTTGTGGAACTTTTGCTTTGTTTTTTACTCAATGTTGTGTTAAGATGTCTATTAGTGCTTCTCTTCCATGTGCCAGCTTTTGGAACATCAAGAAGTTGAGAAATCTTAGGTTTTCATCCGTTCAATTCAGTTCATTATCGTTTTGGTTTAGTTGAAACTTGAAAGGCAAACTAATTTTATCAACACATTGCAGCTTGAAGATTGAGCTGAATAATGTTACTGCTCTGTGGGTTGTGAACCTCTAGGTTCCTCCATATCGAATTTGGCACAAAAGCCTAAACAACACAAATTATATACAAAAACTTGCTCACATCTACCATCTCTTATCAAAACATAAAAGATGAGAACTAATAAATGTCTCCTAGATTCTTTTTTCTTTATTCTCCCCTGTCCATGCCCCACCTATATGTTTTATGAACAGGCAAAGCAGCCTAAAGGCATTCCAAATTTTCATCCAACTAAAGTCATAATTTTGATTTATCAACTATACGGATCTCCACCGATGGTTTAGAACTTCTAACTGAGAGCATCTCCCTAACTATTCTCGAGCATTAATATTATCATTAAATTTTACTCAATTTTTAATTAACCAATTCTACTGTGCCAATCTTCTGGTTTCCATCATATGGCACCCTGGCTTGGTGGCTTACTGAGTGACTAACTGTTGTACGTCCCTGGCATGACCCAACATGCTTGTAACCATGATAATAATTCTGACCACAAATTTCAGTCTGCCCATAGGGGAGCACTTAATGCTCTAAGCTTTTCCTCTATTCACACCGGACTCGTTCAATTTAATTGGCTAATAAGATTTCCCTCTCTGGCGCAACATATATTTTCTTCTGATACCTTTGTTTATAGCAGATTAGCAGCGGCAAGGACCACCCCAACTTCTGGAGAGGGATACCACCTTTAATGCAGTATTTAATCACGTGGTTGATTATTAATGTGCTTGCATTTCTTACATTATGCCAATATACGTTGCCTTGCCATAATAGTCTGTTTTCTAACCGTACTGTAATCCAGGTTCACCGGATGTCTCAACTTAACCTCTATAATCACTTCCCATGAGTAGAGCTGCCTCCTAGAGATGATAGATCACATACAAAATCTTCCTAAACTGCATTCAAACACTTCATTTGGAAAACTCAACTTCATAAACGGCACCAAGCACATTTCTAGGATGAGTCAACTTCTAAAAGTTGGATTTTACTGAAATTTAATCTTCTCAACTTCTGTCAGAAATGGTATTCACAAAAATCTCCACCAAACAAGTATGTAAAAGCTGTAACTGATGTCTGTCAGGATTCATAGGGAATAATGGAAGGCTTATTCTAGACTATCTACAAATTTTGTGTTCTCTTAAGAGTCTCGAAAGTGAAGATAATAAGTTTATCAGGACATATACAGATTGTGTACTCTTAGATGAGATCTGGAATTCTGGCTCATGACATGGCACATTACCAAATATTGCACTTTCTTTGCAGATATGGCCTCCTAAAAGTGTCAAAGACTCCGGATCCCGCTTACACTCACAGTTGAAGGAAGCAATTATTCAGGTAATGCAATTTCAAAGAACCACATATTCAGTTGCTTAACTGACTCGAACTCCATGTGCATAGTAATGCCCTCTTAATCTTTATGTCAGCATGTGATATTGCTCTTTAACTTCTGGTTTGTTATCTTGTGCTGTGATCCTAGAGAGAAACCATCTGTGAACTGGATCACACTTGCTGCTCTCTTTAAAATTGACCATCCTGCTCATATTATCTATCTTGGGATATGTATAATGTTAGTTATGGGTAGATTAACTAGAAGTCTGTTGCTTTCAGAGGACCTTATGGCATAGGTTACCACAATCTTGAAAAGTGATCAGTGTTCTTGTTCTCTAGGTTGTTATGTAGTGTATTAGATAGAAGTAGAATCTGTAAGCTTTACCATTTATTTTTAAGCTCTCAATCTGCATCCTGGAAGAATATGTCTGGAGCCTGGAGCCCTAAATGCTGTATCTGAGGTGTAAGGATAATTCAAAGTTGAGCTTTTCTATTTCCTAGATTTGTTTGAAAATACATTGTTGGAATATTGTACTGCTACTAGTTAGATTAACAGTCTTCATACAATCTCCACCTCATAAAAGGGAAAAATGAGAACCATTCTAAGTGCTGTATCCAAAATTGAGTAGCCTATGTACTGATGGCATATTACTTCCATCCATGTTCTGTTATATGTTATCCATATTGATCCTTTTTACCGAGGAACATAGAGGTAAAGCAGCTAATATATGTTTAAAGTAGCTATGAATCTTTTGGTATTTACAAGCGTGTGTGTGTGTGGTGGGCTTGAGCGTTGACATTTACATGGAGAATGAAAACTCGGGTTGATATCAGATTTCTATATTCAGTATGATAAACGAGCACAGCAGTGAATTTAATATTGCATATTTAATGTTTCTAAAAATGAAAGTGATAATCATATTGCAATTCATGTATGATATTTCAGTGAGATTGAATCACTCAGTGCTAGACTTAATTGTTTTTCCTGCACTCACATGGTTAAGATTTCATAAATTAGTTTTTTTTAGATCCCTCAATGCCAATAGCTTTGTCAAATGGGCGTTCCCAGAAAGAACTCAAGAAGTCACCGTACCTGGCTACCTGCCATTAGGGCTGTAAATGAACCAAAGGGACACAAACGGAGGCTTGTCCGTGTTCGTTTGTTTAACTTAACCGAACAAACACATAAACAAACGATTTTTTATGTTTGTGTTCGTTCATCAAGAAAATAAGCTTGTTTGTGTTCGTTCGTGTTCGTTTGTTAAAATGTTAGACGAACATAAATGAACATAAACGAACAAAAACAAACGAACAAAAAGGCAATCACCATTACTAAAAATGTATAATATTTTAAATTAATTGATAATTTTCTTATATATATAAACGAACTAAAACCAAAGTAAAGAAAAATTAACAAACGAACAATCACAAACATAATTGAGAGAAGGAGATCATTGTTTGTTTTCGTTCGTTTAACCAAACGAACACAATTTTTTCTTCATGTTTGTTCATTTATTAAAAAACGAACTTGCTGCCAAACGGTTCACTAAGCGTCGGTTCATTTACAGCCCTACCTGCCATTATCGTTATTGAGTGGCCACATGGAGCTTGTTAGTAGTATCAATACGTGGTCTTTAGGAATTTGCATGTATGTATAGATGTACATACGCTATTTTTAAGTGATGGTTTATCATGTTCTGGAGCAGCTACCCTTACTTAAAAACCATACCTAGCCAAAAATGCCCGGTATATCCCAATCAGATGAAGGGTCTTGGGGGGTAGGATGCATGCACAACTTTTCTCTATCACAAGGAGTAGAGAGGTTTTCGTGAAGACCCCTGGCTTAAGAAAAAGGTTTTTGAAAAGTTATTAAAGAGCATGAGACAATAGACAAAAATTGTCGAATTAGAGTGTGCCAAAACGATTGTCATCGTCTTTGACTCTTTGTAACTTAGTTTGACATCCTATACATTTTCATCTAGCTGTGAATGTACTGATCCCAAAGGTCTTTGCTTCTTGTACTTCAGTTGATGATTAATCATCTCCATAATTATCATTTTATCTTATCCGAGGTAGATCCTACTGCCTGAAGATGTAGGTGGTTGTGAACTCTTGAAATTTGGATTGTTAAAGTTGTGCATGTGGATGGCCCCCATCCCCCCAGCAGTTGATTTGTCTTTTGGGTTGTATTAATGTACTAAAGATACATGTCAATTCATATCTGATATAAAGGTCTGAATTAATGGACCTGCATTTGCACATATCAAGTTTAATCCAACCCTTCCCCCTTCCCACACACACACAATTGGTGGACTCTTATCCAAATTCAGAATGCCTCATAGGTAACATTTAGTTATATGAATTCATTTGCTTCACGAGATTTTGGAAGTTCCTTCTCTTATAGGCTCTAAAGCATATTCTTGCATCAATGCACATAATACATTTTGGGATGGCAATAAGCTTTCCCTTGACTGATTTTTTCTTGAAAATCCTTTGTATGATGGAGACTAATTGGCAGACTAGACGTATTTACAGTAGCATACTCGATATTGCACCAAAACAGGAGTCTGCAATGCAACAAAATGGCCTGAATCCTTGTACATAGACAATTTTGGTTGCAAAATATGAATATGTGCTGACCTGTTAGCTCTTGTGTTTGGTTCTCTTCTTGGTGACTAATCTTTTCTAGTTAAATTTATATCATGCATAGGAACTGGGCATTTCAATGCATTAATTACCATGTATCCTTGACATTTTCTGTTATATAGTTAATGTTTCATTTTTTGTTGACAAGATATATCGAAGGAGAAAAACTAATTATGCACCAGAACATTCATATTCACCGTTAAAGCTTAAAAGCATTTTTTTTCCCAGGGGAAAGGGCTAGGAGCTCAGAGATTTAAAGTGTAGATTCTCATCTCAAATGCTCACATGTGATGGTTTTTTAGTAGCCTATGAACTCATATTTGGTCTACCATGGAAACTGGCTCAACCATTTAGTGTGTATTAAAAAGTCAACCATATCATGTTACGACATAAATTTGTTCTTTGTAGATGTGAATCTTGTTGTATCATGATGACGTTTTTGTTATGCAGACTGGAATGGAGAAGAACGTGTTTGGAAATAATCCAGTTTCACTGCCAACCAGGGACTCTCGTGGATCATCTCCTGCTCTTTCCTCAGATCCTTTGGTAACAAAAGATGCTGTAGGATACTCGGTTTCCTCTGGAAACAGCTCTGCTAAACCTTCAAGTGTAGATATTGTGGAGATAGATGTCCCTAATTCGGCAAATCATGAGGGGAATTTCTTGAGAAGCCCAACTTCTGGTGTTGTAAGTAGTTTTATCTGCATCATTAGTTTTTTCAAAATGTATATATGTATGCATCATTAGTTTTTTCAACTGACCTTTGGTTATGCAATGCAGCCTGGTGCTACCACAAGAAAAAGTGCACAACAAGTTGAGAGACAAAACTCAGAGGTTTCTTATTATGCAGACGATGAAGATGCTAATCGCAAGAAGTACACCAGGAGAGGTGAGAGTAATGTCTTTCCATGTTTTTGTTTAAAATTTAAATAAAAAAGCTGTGTTATGCCTCTTCTTTTACAATAAAGAGCCATACATTAAAGTTCTGCTCTATCAACATATTAAACTTACATTAGTTGTCTTATGAACTTAGAAGATAAAAAGTGAAAAAATGAAGACGACTTTATTTAAATTGGGAAATTGATTTTTATTGATAGGAGGTTTTCGCCATAAGTTTCTGAGGTCATTGCTACCTTTCTGGTCAAGTGCATTACCAACTTTACCAGTTACGGCACCCCCTAGAAAAGATGGAAATGGAGAGGAGATCCATACGCGACAGCATAGACCGTCAAGGATGGATCCAAGAAAAATACTTCTGGTGATAGCAATCATGTAAGATTTTTTGATTTCCTTTTTAACGTTGATATGATTAAAGATGATGATATATAAATGATATGAATGTATTGTTGCATCACAGGGCGTGTTTGGCAACGATGGGTATTCTATATTATAGAATCGCACAACGTGGGTTTGGGGAGGAGGAAGCGGTGGTGGGTCGTGAGGAGGAACAGTGAGAGATTATTAGCTGATTTGGTGGTGCTTGTATGCAATTTGTTTGGATTGGATTATACATGAAAATGGAGACATTTGATGTTTTGTTTAAAATTGGTTTATTGTTGCACATGTTTTCAAGAGTCGCATAGACCAAGTGTTTCTGTTTTATGTTTTAGAAGCTCTTTTTTCTTCATTTATAGTTGTTGAAGAATTGATTGAACCAACTCGGATGGATGGATGGATGGAAGAGTTTGGTTTATTTGGTAGATTGATTGCAAGCATTCCAATCTGAATTTGCTCAAGTTTTGGTTAAGAAGTCTTCTATATATACAACATTTAAAATGTACTTTTAGAAGAGGCATATCGTATGTGTAATTATCCTTGAGCTCATTACAGTTATTTACATAATGCGATTGGTTCATGAGCAACCCGTAGAAACATAGTGATTGCATGTGTTGTTGAAAGAGGTATAAACAAATTGTTTTTCAACTTAAAACTCTTATTGAACTTAAAAGAAAATTTTCATAACTACATCAAACTTTTGCGAGAAAGATCTTATAGCAAATCATCATGTAAAAATGTTGGTCTAAAGTTTTAAAAAAAAAAAAAAAAAACATAGGAGTTTAGTTGGCTTTGGTTTGAAAAAGACATAGAAGTTTGGTCGGGTAAGTTGCAGCTCGCAGGAAAATAAGGTGAGAGATGAGGGTTTTTTTAAAAAATATCATTTTTACATTTAAATTAGTCTTTTTAAAAGTTTACCCAAATTTCATTACTTACACAATATTCAAGTTCGCAATATCAATTATGCCCGTAATATTAGCTAAAAGACAATTTTTTTTTTGAAATTCAACCAATTTACCGTCGCAATGAGGACCTGGCCATCGCTATTTTGGATCTAGTCTTCACAATTGCGGACCAGGTTAATAAAAAAAATATAGTTGCCGGATTTTGAACTCTAGAACGGGAACCGTAGATTATGATTCATACTTTGTTCTGTTACTTGTTTTTCTCGATTTTATTTTATAGTTTTGGAAAAGTTAGAGATCGGTTGATTATTATCTTTTCTTAAAATATATATACTAATATGGTTTTTATACTAAGGAAGTAAAATTATATAAAATTCTTATTTTCTGGTTTAGTTTGTTTAATTTAAGTTTTACTATAATTTAGATCTGAAATAAAAATGTTTTAGTTTAATTATGAACTTTTATAAAAACAATGATAAAGTTTTTGTTAGGGGTCAGGATCGTTAAATTTAAATTATAATTATATAGATATTTTATATTTAAAGTTAAGGGAATAATATGTTTTAGGCGCCATTTACTAAACGCTTATCCGGATAAGCGCTTACCAAGTCACTTTACTATACCAGATGAATATGGCAAAGACTAAAAATCTTACCCGGTAAGAGCGAAGACAAGAATTGAGAGTCTTACCCGGTAAGTGAGACTCTTACCATGGCTAGCGCTTATCGAGATAAATTGTTGCATACGATGTGTTTTAGTGAATAAAATCTTACCCGGTAACTAAGCGATAGTGTTGAATTCTTACCGGTAAGTGCTCCTTAACGTTCTTGTTTTCACAGTTTCTAATCTTGAAAATGATGTGTGTTTTTTAGTGTCTGCATGAGTTGAAACAAGACAAAGAGTCAAAAGCATGTTTCATGTCTAAAATCATCAGTTTGCTGCAAACTGTTGTGGGTCAATGATGAATGATTTCATCTCTAAAACATGAACTTGAGACTAAAAGACCACATGGTAAAACAAAAACTATCACATTCTCAAGACTAAAACTATAAAGGTAAAGACGGTTAGTACGCATTTCTACTCGAATCTCGTCCTCCAAATCCAATTCAAATCGGAGCAGGACCAGGTTTTCTCCACTAGCATTTTACTGATCGTCCGTCACTGTAACTGTATACAGATATGTGTAAAGATTATCCACTACCTGAACTAACTCCTCCGAGGGATGATTATGACTTTTTCAAGCACGATTCTCGTTTGCATGATTCACAGCTTCACTTTGGTTGTCGAGAGGCATGTACTGTGCCATGATAGCTCTGATCTCTGAATCCATGTATGACTGAAAAATGTGTGGTGAAATAGGTAAAATGAGAATCTATGGACTCCAATTTCAAGCAAATGTTTGCCAACATCCAAGTCCCTTTCTACTCTAAATGCATGTTTTACATTTGTAATCAGAACTTTGTGATAGTAAAAAATAGGCCAGCAAGTTTAAGACCCAAAAAGCAACTAGATTTGTGAACATATTTACTGTAAAGAGATGTACTTACCCTCCATCTATACTTGTATACAAGATATGCTCCACCTGCAGCCATTGCTAACCCCAATAAAACGACCCATACGACAGTCCATGAAGATTTACCTTCAGCAGTAGTCTTACCTGCAGCAACTGACCATTTAGAAGGCAAAGAAATAACTAGTTTTTAAGGGGTTATAGTTGAAGGACATACTTATGCAGGTATCATGGTCTCTGATATACAGACGGTCACCGCTACAAGTGCACTCGTAGCTTCCCCAGGTATTCTTGCAACTGCATTCCGGGCACTGACATGCTTTCTTCTCTTGGCATTCATCAATATCTGTGATCAATAAATCACGATGAATGAAACCAATTAGTGGACAGTTATCAATTCATTGTTTTCTAAAGTTTCAACAATTCTAAGGCTATGTTTGACAATCTAGCTCATAAGCTAGGTGATAAACTAGTCATCTTTAGTAGAAACTAGCTAATAAGCTACATAACAATGTACAATGCATAAAATGGCATGTTAGAAAAAATAATTGGAAAATAGAACGCGCAAGATTGGAAAAGAAGCCCCTGGAGCTTATTGAAATGCTATTCAAAGTAGCTTTTCAAGAAGCTAATTTATGGTTAACCAAAGTGGACTTTCTCAGCAGGCTCGAGAAATAAGTTTATGGTTTCCAATGGTTTCCAAACACGGCCTAAATGAAATAAAAACTGTGGTAAATCCTGTATTAGTTTGAAGTACAGTAGCATGTGATTCACGTTTTCTTCTTTCCATTTAAATTGTCATTCAGGCAATGGCGCTAGTATGCAAAGATTGTTTACCTTCACAGCTTTTGACACCATCGCCTTTAAATCCTGATGGACATGCACATTTCCCATTCTCGTTATCCTGTTAAATAACATAGTTGAGAATCTATATCTGATCTAACAGCTAAAAGAAGTAGATTGAAAAACAACATTTACGAGAGAGCACCAACCAAACAAGCTGAGAATGAATCCCCATCTCGGCTTTCATGCCAACATCCTCCATTATTGATCTTACAACGCCCTGGTCCACTTGCTGCAACATACAGCCAATTAACAAGTAAAATTACATGCGCATAAAATATGATCTAATGGAAGAACAAAACTATTAATGTTTCTTAAATGACATATACACTCTTTTGCCCAAAATTGATGCAACATGTGACCCTGCATGCAGTTTAAAGAAATACAGATGAACAAAAATGACATTTAGTTTCTAGTAGCATCGAAATGTGAAATGAAACAGGAAGTTATAAGAGATGGTGTTCACAACGAAGTACAGTGGGTTTGTGGGTAACTTTAACTAGTTGAATTTCATCCCAAGGAAAGAGAAGCAACAATTAGCTTTATGCTGTCCAGATGGTCCCAAAATACACAAGTTATTCAAGAACAAGTAAAAAGAGATTTCTTTACATTTTCTGGTTCCATAGTGGCAAGTTTTACATAGGACGGCAAGATAGTCATTACCCTTTACTCACCCAAAGCAGGACCAAAAAGGTTTTCCATTTTGGTCTTCTCAATATGTGTAATCTCAGTAACTTGCAATAAACATAAATATCTTTGCAGATATATTAAATTTCCCTACTCCCATCAATTAATATACATCATTTGAAGTTAATGAAACATATTCCTTCTCGGATTATTATCAAATCGTTTAATCCTTACCTCTGAAAATCAGGGCATTATAGGCTATGACAGTTTGCAATAAAGGTTGTCATTCATTATGTCTTATCCTCTTCTGTCAGATATTTTCAGCTTTAAAGAACAGTAGTCAAGAATCATCATGTGCTTATTAACATAGTCAACAAGAATATATTAGATCAGTCTTGATTCCAGGTTCAGAGACGACAGTTATTAGCCGAGTGAAAAGGAAGAGCTCAAGATTAACGAGTTACCTACACAGGAGGTATAACCATCTCCCTTGAACTGTACTCCATCAACCAAAGGGCACTCACAAACTCTCCCACGAAATGTGTCCTGCATATGTCAATGCAATAACTATAAATATAAACATGAATATCATAATCCTGGAAGCTATGAGTATAAGATATGCGGATGTACCTTACATGCAGTGACATTGGCAGCTTTATCATGCCAGCAGCCACCATTATTTTCCAAGCACTCATTTGTTTCGACATCTGTGAGAAAACATTCTTGAGCAATATGTCACAAATAATCTTTTACAAACTGAAGATTATAGCTTACCATCACTCAGACAAACAGCCGGCTCAGTTGTTTCTTCAAAACCAGAGCAAATGGCCTTCAAAACAGCACCTTTCTCTAACTTTCCTGTGACCAAAGATTTTAGAATGCGAATGGAACTAAGTTTGCCCTTCCAGTCAAACATAAATCCAGAATGAAAACTGACCTCGGTATTGTCTGTTATTAACAACAAGTGTAGGCAATATGGTCACATCACCTCTTGACCCCTTCCCAATCTGAAAAATGCCACAGTAGTCGATTAGTTATATAGCTGAAGCTAAACATGGTCAGGCCAGTTTCAACCGTGTTCATGGAGCAAAGGAAAAGCAAAAGAAATACTATCTAAAGGCCTGAAAACACAAGTACAACATACTTGGGCATCTTGTTCTTCTTTGAGGACAGGATTGTCAGAATCCGCACTAGGGTCTCCCATACACTTGTCAATCTTACTCAAATCAAGCCCTGCAAAAAACACCCATATTAGCATTTAGCCTTTGGGTTTCACAACTGAAGTGAACAGGGACGAGACAACAGTCACCTAAGGATTTGATAACCTCATCAGCACACTCCTTGTTGTATTTCTTCTCATTCATGGGACACCTTATTTGAAAATCAGTGACATAGTCCCACCAAATCCATGACTTTTCAGTCTCATTTGCCACTTTGAACACACATAATTGCCTTAGGTTTTCAAGAACCACATCTTTTCCCTCATAACCTGTGCTGAAATCTTGTTCAGGATCGGGAGCACAGTACCTTCCATGATTTATGCATTGCGATTTGCACTGTTTACTAATCGTGAATGTCTGAGGACAATACCAGGTTATGTAATGAGGGGTGAATAGAGTATAGCCACCCTTTTCAAGAATTTGTGCTGCACCCTTGAAATTCTTCACAAAGTCCATTAACATATCACATTTAACTCCACACTCATCGTTGCTGTTTGTCCATAGCTCATATTCAACGCGGTCATCAGGATGTGGAACAGATTCTCTCCAATCAAGGTTTACATTTACCATGTCCCCGCTACTGATTGCTTTCTTCAACGTTTCACCGAAACTCCTGGCTATTAATGCTGATGGGATTGTTATATTCTCAATATACTTCGCAGAAGCACCATCCTCTTCTGGCCTATCCATGGTTATCAGTGCTTCATCAATGTCATCTGCTACAAGAACTGCAGAAGCACCAGCATTTTGGGCATTCCAAACCTTCAAAGCAAAAAAGCAATCTGGATAACAAACAAAAAGTAAGAATTCATTAACATAGATTCAACTTAAGTTTGCCTTCACCCTAAGATAATTGGGCCCAGCAACAAAGTCATGTTGCAGGAAACTTATATCAAGCAGGAAAGATATGACCAACAAAACTAATAGCAAATATAATATATAGACTTGGGATCATGTGAGACTAGGCTGTTTTCATGAGACCACTTTTTTACACTTGAAACTTCACAGCAAAACACTGTGAAGGAGATTCCCATTTTTTTTACCTTCACAATGTTCTGTTGTGACGTTTCAAGTGTAAAAATGTGGTCTCACGGGTCTCATGAAAACAGGCTGGTCTCACTTGATCCCAACCCTATATATATACTTATCCTGACCAAAAATAGCTTCTGCAGTCACATCCTAAAGTAGCTCCAGAGACTACTCTCCTTGAACTCCGTGCCCTGAACTTGACTGGTTATGCAACTACGGTGCTATAAAAAAAAGAAAAATGGCAGAAGACCACAAACTAAGAAAGAAAAAGCTAGGGATGAGCTGCTTACTGGCTGTTTGTTTGCAGGTTACTGGTATGTGGGCTTATTCGCTCAGCCATATCAGAGCTTTTGTTTGCGACTTACTGAATAAGCCCATGGCTTACTCGCTCAGCTATCTAGGGTCTGCTTAATCCATTCAGTCAAACCTCTTCCTAAGATATCCCTTTGCTTACCACTCCACCTCACATTCACAAGAAAAAGTGGTCCAAAAAAAAGGAGGTGTCACCCTTGTTGCTGTCTCCATTTTTTGGATCATCTTTTTTCTTTGAATGTGAGATGGAGCAATAAGCAAAGGGTAGCTTAGGAAGAGGTTTGGCTAAATGAATTAAGCATGCCCTAGAAATCTGAGTGATTAAGCCATTGGCTTAATCAACAAACGGCAAACAAACACACTGATGTGTTTGAGCGAATAAGCCTCCATACCATTAAGCCCAATAAGCTACAAACAAACAACCCCTAGGATAACTTATTCAGGAAGGAGCCATTGTCACTGCCCAGTCATCAGAATAGGCTTTCAAGTTAGCCATTAAGTAAGCATGTACTAGTCAGCCAGTAAGGAAGCACATATTAGTCAGCCAGCAAGTTGGTCCATTATTGCCGGTTCGAGTACGAGACTTCGGTGTAGTAGTGCTATAATGATTTTGCCACATACTAAGGACTCCTCTAGTAAAGCACCTTTATTGTGCTTTTATTCGCAACTCAGACAAGAATCCTATTTCTTACTCACCAATTGTTGTTCTCACGAATTTCAAAGATCTCACTCGTTGTCAAAGCATATTTTGTGAAGTGTTCACCCTGTGTCATGTCACCCAATAAAAAAGTCATCTGGAAATCAGAGTCGTGGCTTGAAAATGCATTCGACAGAGAAGGGCGTCTTGGTTGCCGATATCGAGGATTTTTGAATAATTCCACCTAGCGCAGAAGTAGAGTTTGGCATAGGTCTAGGGAAAGCAACAAGGAATTCAAGAATGGAAAGGAAAAGAGAGTTACAAACGAAGGACCAGTCTTAAGGGCCAAGCTTCCCAGTGTCCATCAGTCCATGTGCCAAATTCCGAGGGCTTGCATTGGTCCAAAGTTTCCTGTTTTTTCTTTTTGGTCTTTCCTTCAATGAATAGAAGGTCTTCGATCAAGTTGCAGAAAGTCAACCCCCAACTGTCGATGATGACATGTGGGATATACCAAGTCCGTTTGATTTGGTTTATGGATTTGCCTGTTATGTGCACACACACTCGGTAGGTAATTTGCCTCGTTCTCATCCCCTAACTTTTCTATTATGCTTATGATTTCATACCTCATGATGGCAGATTTCATATTCTTCTTTCTTTGATAAAGGTTCATTCAAAGATTTGGACAACCCAGAAGTAAAATAAGAAACAATAATAGTGGGTCAATATAATATAAAGAATTCGACGGTAAAGAACAATTTAAAGAATGTGGAATCATGCAATCATACCCATCACCCATCCGATGATTTCATGAGTGTTCGACATGAAAAACCAACATTCATATTCCCTCTCGTTCACCATATGCCAACTATAACTGATCTTTGTCAACTAATAGATGATAAAACTTTCCTGCAACATTTTTCTTTCACAAACATTATGCAGCCTTAGTTTATGATGGTCTACTACTAGAAATGCAACATAGAAAGGCGTAAAATCATTAAACACGACTAGCCTTTTATCCTGATCAGGTTTTCACTTCAATCACCTTGCTTATATCGTCGGGTCAACACCCCAATCAGTATTGTACATCCTTAAACTATACTATGGACCTCAGATGTGTTACTACACCCTAATCAGTAGAGCAGCTAGTTACCCTTCCACAACTCCTTTGTGGTAAAAAAATTTCACTGGAGTATGGTAAGTCTGTCAAATATTCCATTGACAACGAAAGAGATACATGCTAGCACAAGAATCATCTACACACAATTAAAGAAGTGATCATTCAAGAAAAAACAATAAAATAACTGGATGGACGCTTCAATATCTTACAGCATAACGAAAATATATCTTACGAGTATTCCCATCAAACACAGAAAAACCTTAGTCAACTATGTTTGGTAAACAAGTCCCGGAACCTGAAGGTCCTACATGTACAATAGAACATACAATTCCATGAATGGAATATGCAACTAGTTGTATCATCCAAAAAGGGTAAATAGTCCAAATATTAAACACCAAATTGATTTGTTTTAAATAAACAAATATGCTTGTTTTATATTAGAAGCAAAAACATATGGATCACCCAAGTAAAACAATTATAACAGAATGCAAATGGAATCAATCAACTAAACAATCATTATGTGACACTTGATGCCAAACATTATCTGATGTTGATAGATAACCAAATAGAAACTAAAATGGTGTTCCAATTTGGACTTTGACAGTCTACAATAATAATAACAATAACAAATTAACAATAACAATGACAGCAGTGGCTTATACTGTTCTCTTGAGAAAAACCTTCCACCACAATATCACCAATTTGGAAATCAATATTCTCGAACCTTAAGCATGATGATGATGATGATGATGATGATGATGATTATGATGATGATGATGATGATGATGATGATGATTATACAACAGAGGATTCCTAATGGTGATGAAGATGAAACAACACAAGGGTGCCATAAAACTGAAATATATAAATCTAAAGATCATCTTATTTAGAATAGAGAGCCAAGTGCATACCTCCACGATCGAGCAACACAAATTTAGGCAAGGCACCAGGATTTGCTTTAAAAGAGATCCCAAATTCGTCGAACTTTCGACAACCTTTCTTGTTTTCTTTAGGGTAATCCACCGTACCGGCCATACTACCACCGTACTGAGGAATACCGAAGTTGCCAATGGCACTATCGTGATTACCCTTAATGTTTTCAGGAGAAGTAACTGTTAAGCTGTTTTTTTCCACTACAAACCTACCCATTGCTGATTGATGATACATGCAGCTCAGTAACATAAACCCTAGAAGAAGTTTAGCCATCATCGATCCTCGACGCTCCATGGTCAAAAATACGTTGGAGAAACTTGTTGGAAGCTTATAAAAAGAAAATTAAGGGAAAACCCAAGTCGTAAATCGAACGTCTTTGATGGATAATGGATCTGTGACTAGATTGTCTACATAAAAATTGCCATTTTCTTTGAAGGAAATAGAAATAAATTGGGGGGGTTTTTACTTCAAGAAACGGTATTCACTCTATAATCCATTTATGCTCGACTGAACTTAATTTCCCAATTTAATCGATTGCATGGAAGGAAGGGAGCTCTTCAATCATGGTGACCAAAAATTCAACTTCAGTCATATATGATTCCATTTTTTTTTTCCATTTTTTTAAATTCCATGTACACCTTTGTTAAAGAAAACTAATGGAAGAAGATACTTATAAGAAAAACAATCAAACATTTTTATAATTATCAGATATTTTCGTTCTACAATAGTATTCATTTTTACGGTAATAATTCATCTGATATTACCTTTAAAAAGATCCGTCAACTCAATTAACTTATAAGATATCTGGTTTTGTTACTATTTTTGTATTTTTATTTTCTATTAATAAATACATACATATAATTCATACTTCGTTGTATTTGTCAACCCGCTCCATCTCACCCCTCCCTTTCCTTTCTTAAGTGATTTTTTTAGCTTGTTTTATGTTCATGGTTCATAATAAGTTAGGTTTGATTTTACTTTTGTTTTGTGTACGGATTAAAAAAAGAGAAATTAGGTTTTCATTTTTTTTCCTTATAAAAAAAAAGCATGCCCACGTTTTTTAGCCGATTGGGTTTGTGTTCCGTGGAGGTTAGTACGTGTTATGTAGTAACACACTGAGAGGTCATTTACGAGCTCAAAAACCTGTTTTAACAGGGCTCGAGTAGGGTCCTATATTAACATTGACAAAAGACATTTTGTCTTAAGTCAACTTGTTTATAGAACGTTTTTGTTTCCTTTAAAGGTCAACCTTTATCTCATTGATATCCCTTCGGTCATCAATGTCGGGTTGTTATCAGGCTAGCTAGATATAAGAATGTCAATTCTTATCTCATTTCCTTCCTATTGGAGAGGAAATGTAGGGTTTTTTAGCTGCAACGGTTCTTAGCAATGATTGTCTTGTTTTTATTACAAGAAAACAATTAAAAAAATTACATAAAAAACTAATTTTCTTTTTTAGACATGCGACATCGCATTATAATTAGAGAAAAGAATAAATAAATAAATAAATATTAAGATAAATAAAATGGCAAAATGTGTCCCTGAATCTGAATTACAAATATCGATGGACGACCGTTTGGATTTGTAAAACTGTTTAAATGGTGTTAGTCCATATCCAATTATTTATATAATTTCTTCCAATAAAATGGTGTAAAACTTTTTATTTTCTTGAATCATAATATATATACATAGATGTGTATGTGTGTTATTTTTTATGTTTTATTATTTATACATATATATCATATATGAACTAATATAAATATAATTTATAATTTATAATATTAATAAATATTATAACTGAAATAGCATTTGTAATCAAATAAATTAAAATTATATAGACATCAAACTTGCATAAATATTAAATACCAAATTTGTTGTACATTTCATCAACATCAGTTGGTGTAGAATCGTAGTGAAATTGTGTGAAAATTGATATAAAAATGAGATTTTGGTGACGATAAAATGCCCTTTACTGAGCAACAAATCTACACTCAATTTCTTGAATAAACATGTTTGACGAAATTATACACATAACAAATATAATAAGTTTTCAAGTATTATTATAGGGCCTTCTTAAAATAGTAAGTTATACAAATATTAATTTTGCTAGTAATTTTATTTCAAATGAATATTTGTTGTTGTAAAAGCACGACAAAAATGAACTTTAAAAATTAATCAGAAGTGAAAAAAAGAAAATGGGGAATAGAGAGCGAAGTATCATAAGCGAAATCTAAATAAATATAAACAAAATAATCTCCAGCTCATTGATCTAAGACTACTAATAATACTAGATGAACTGGGTTCAAATCTTTTTATTAATAATTCCATTTAATTTTTAGTGATTATACAATTATTATTAGATTGTTTTGATGCCCTTAGGCTTGGGATGCCATGGGCATCCGCCCGGGCTGCCCACCCATAAGGGCTGGCCCTGCCAATAAGAATAAAAGTCATAGTGAGAAACATAAGAAAATATCTCCACTCTTGCATCAATTCTAATTGAATGCCAACACTAATGAGATACACCAAGATGCACCAGATCAATTCCTTTCTAAAACGCAGTTCATGGGTGGACATGAGATTAAAAGTAATCAAATGTTTAGATCTCTTCTTACACTTCTTATCATAACTTGCCTTCTCATACGATTATTTGATGTTATTTGTAAACAATTAACAGCATAAAACACGGGAACCTCTAGGAGAGATTTTTAAGCATGCCGACCATCAAGATTTGTGCTTCAACTATAAGATTGTCGTCGAACAGGAATCCCTTTGTTGAGTCATGAAGATCACTTAACAGCATAAAACACGGGAACCCCCAACCATCAGCCGCGTTGCAGAACCAGTGGTCAGCTTCTGCAACCATATCGCGACGCTAAATATAATTAGCGACAGTATATAAAGGTTTAGCGACGGGTGTTTACGGATCTACTACCTTTACTTTCGTGGGTACCTCCTGCTTCTTGGTTTTTCACACGAATCTTGAATTTCGCATAAACTCTCCAATCATTCGATCGCGAACTAGGACCGGCATTGGAACCAGATCCGACTTCATGTGGTCTTAGAAATATAGAAAGATTTGTGTTTCTTCTGGTTCTGAATCCTTTAGGATACAACGATAGTTTCCTGTTCGTTCCATACATTTTCGGTTTAAAATTTAACGACATTGCATTGAAAACTTACAAATCACATACCATTTCACTTGTCCCACTTTGAAATCCTCGGAGCACAACGGACCATCCGTCAAGCTAGAAAACTTCGATATTGTCCAAACGTGTGAATTCATTGTTGCGGGAGGCTTGATTATCGATAGACTCTGATCTTTTTGTGCGTATTTTGGGACAACAAAAACCTCGGCTCCGAACTCACACGAATCCCCGTAAAGATAACCACTTTCAGCCTTCTTGAACGAATCCAACGATATCAGTTTGCTAAATCCCCATCTCGTTTTCCTTTCATGAAACCTCGTACGTTTCCCGTCAACACCTATTTATACGCACATATGACAATGTGAACCGCAAATCTTGTTATTCGTGTTCAAAATACGATTGATATACCTTGGATTGTTAGATAGTTATGGCGTATATGATCGAAAATCAAGATTTTGAAGTAGACATGAACCTCCCACCCTCTTGCGAGGCTTTGGGTGTCGCAAATGACGAGATAAAGAGAAATGTGATCGTTCCCGTATTCCTCCTCGTTTCCGTTTGGATACAGTTCTAGTTTCCTGAAAATTTTGATCGTCGAATATCACATACGTATGAAACTAAATCTAAAAACATAATTAGCGACACAATAGTTGCAAAATAACCATCGCCGATAGCGACACCCGGTTTTGTTGCAAAAAACAAACTACAACGAAATCGGCTTTATAGGACACCAAATATGCCTAAATATCCTCATAACAGTTGTGCGTCATATCTAAAAGGGTTACAATAAGTTGATATGTTGGACAATCTTTAGGACACTTTTGAATCAAATTGTCTTATTAGCTATTTTATATGACACTTTTTAGAACTGTCGTATAAATATATATTTTTATAACATATATTTTCAAAAAGACTAACCAAAAACTTTATTTCACAAGTGTCATAGAACGTGTTAGTACGTCCGAAAACGTTCTATTAATTTATTGCAACATCTTTATATATGACGTTAAATTGTTTGGTTTATAAACTTGAGTCCTATAAAATAATCTATTAGAATATTTATACATATTTGACGTCCTATAAAACCAAATTTATTATGGTGCAAAAAGCTAAATGAGTCGCACCAGTTGTATCCGCTAGCTTCAAAAACATCAGATTCGTACTTCACGATTCCGGCTTCAGACAAAAGGGAGAACGATTCGATCTTCAATTTGTAGTGTGCCGGTTCGTTATTTCCACTCGATATTGATACACCTGCAATCAACCACCACGGATAATCAGTGTTTTCACGATGAAACTACTAGTTGCAACGGAAACTGTCGCAACGAGCAATTACGATTGAAATTTTCTCACTTCTCGAAAGCGCCATTGTTTCTTGAGCCTCAATAGCTTGCATAGCTTTCGTCCTATAAATTTGATTTCGATATATTTCATGAACAATGTCGGTGAATGCTTTCTCAACATTCATAGCTTTCAATGCCGACGTCTCCATGAACAACAACGATTCCTTTTCAGCGAACGACTTCCCTACCTCAGTAGTAACCACAACCGACTGTCTAACATCCGACTTATTGCCAATCAACATCACGACAATATTCGGATCGGCATGGGCCCGCAAATCGGCTAACGATCGTTGGGCATTTACAAACGTGATGTGGTTAGTAACATCATACACAATGAGTGCGCCGGTTGCTCCTCGATTGTAGGCATCGGTGATGGCTCGAACATTGTTATGGCCCGAAGTGTCCCAAATCTGAACCGTGACGACCTTGCCTTCGAAATTGAGTGTCTTGGCAATAAACTCGACCCCAATGGTGGAATTGAACTCGAGGGTGAACTTGTTGTGACAGAATCTCGAGAGTAAATTGGATTTTCCGACCCCCGAGTCGCCGATTAGAACAATTTTAAAGAAATGGTCGTAGCTACCTTCTTCTCGATGGCTTGCCATCTTAAATTCGTGTTGTGTAGAAGCAATTTAGGATCTTGACTTTGTGTTTGTAAGTATATATATGGAATTTGTGTAGTGTTACATCGAAATAAACGTAAAGAAGTGAAGAAAAACAAAACACATAGAAATTGACGATACATGGTCCAAAAAGAAACATCTAAATATGGTTCCATCATATATGATTGTTACATCATCTGTGACAAGGTATGATGATGACAAGGTATGATGATGATTTGGGATGTTAAATGTGAGATTTTAAACAGGGTTTTTAAAATTTTAGGGTCCAAATTTATATGTGTTTAGAGTCTTTTTATCGACCTATGTAAAACTATAACCGGAATTATCTAGGTTCAAACCATTACTTATTTGGTTTTCAAATCAGTAATGGTTTAGGTTTAGTTTTAGATTGTTAATCGTTTTAAGTTTAACCCATTTTTATTCTTAACATATATCATCTGTCATCTCATTTATGCAATGTAATCAAAAGTTTTGGATGTAACAGGGCCTCCAGAAAGGTTGGAACGTCCCTGATCCCACCATCGGCCACTAGTACCTATATCGACACCGATAATCCACCACCTCAATAACCACCGTCATCCGCCACTGCCACTGTTAACCATTAACGCCACCACCACAACCTCCACATCCTTCTTCACCATCATTATCAACCAACACCGTCGTCGACCACATCCTCATCCTTCACAACCACCACTCCCGCTTCTACCACAACCTTTGCAACAACCTCCACCACTCGTCACATCTGCCAACTCATAACGACCTTCTAATTTAATTCACAATCTGATCATTTTAACAATTTTGTTGTGTCTTGTCTAATTTGCTAAATACAATACAAACAGCTTGTTCAGTCATGTAAAGTTTGGTTATGTCATATCCAATCCCATCCTATCATCAGGGCCGGTCATAAGATTTTTGATAACCTGTGCGAAAATAATAAAAAATGTCCCTAAGCCTATTTTTTTTAAGCCAATGAAACAACGAAACATGCGATTTTTTAAAGAGTTTAGAACTTATTCAAGCTAAATGTTTCATTCCCCATGTTGATTTTTATTAATTATAATAAAAAAAATCTAATGGGGACATAAAAAACCAAAATCCCGAATACAAAATATAGAATGATAAAAAGATAAATCATGGATTAAGATCATGTTTCCTTCTTTTCTGGTTTTCCTTTTTCCAAATTGAAATTAGCAAAATAAAAACTTTATTTCAATATATGGGACTTAAAAGACAAATGAAATTATAATTAATTTTTAACTAAAATAGTAATTACATCCAAATTACTGTCATAGTAAGTAAAAAAGTAAAGCTTAAAAGATACAGGTCTAACGACTAAAGGCTAATGACCTATCTGTTAGCAGCTTAATAAGCTTAATGGAACTAACAGCTTATTCGCTTAACTATGCATGACTGTTTCGTAGTGGCTTAATGATATAGAAAATGACTTATCCAGTAAGCTTCTTGGGGAAGTTTTATATAGAAAACCAAGTTTTTTTTTTTTTTCCAAACATGTCCCTTCCAACTAAAAAAACGCTTTTTATATATGCGAAAAAACTCTCATAGATTTTTTTTTCTAACTTATACAAACAAATTAATTCATACAGACAACTTTATCCATATAGAACTTAATAAAAAACCAATCAAACGGCCCCTAAATCTAATGCGGTAATGCCAAACCTCAAAGTAAACAAAAGTCAAAAGAACAATAATAAATTGTAAAATTCATAATCTATGTTACTGTGCATTGCAAAGAATAAGTGCCAAATAATTAAGACAATATCACAATATGTTGTTAATGTTGTGCAGTATGCTTCAACTATGTTGATATAGTGATGTGCTCATGTGCATTGAAAATTTTAATTCTCGAATATTTCAATATGCAAGAGGAAGACTCGTTATCAAAATGACAAAAGCCCCTTAGCCTTAGCCTAGTAGGTCAGTAACCCACATGATCGCATGATCCAACTTTATAATAATCAGTTATAAATTTAGAATTTTTTTGTAAAAAAGATTTAAAGATTCATAAATCATAATATGACTCACACAACAACTTAATAAGTTCAATCAAAAATAGAAATCAGTCATTCGAGATTTTCATCTTTGATTTCTCGAATATAATTTCATGACCATTAATCGGCCGGAAAAGAGAAATCCATGTCTTGAAATCAAAATAGTCGAACTTTGAAGAACAATAGAAATTAGATTGAGTTGTTGGAATGATGACATCAACTGGTTCATGATATGCATTTAGTATTCATCTACTAGGCCTTGTGCCTGTTTTTATAATTAAAGCTCAATTGTCCAATTCCCAAATTATTAAACTCAAAACTAGTAATAGATGACAACTTGATGTTCCTTTAGGCTTTGATGCCCTGTACAGCCGCACAGGCTACACGAAGCCAGGGCCGGCCCTACCTATCATGTTCATATACCAAACGACAAATGCTACCAAAAGGTACCACTCGACTACATACTTTTTAAATGAAACGATTTTAATTGGTTTTAGTTCGATTAAGTTACAAGGGCTTGCATGAAGAAAAAGGGCAAATGTAACAAGAAGTAACTACGGTGGTCTTAATTGAAATAAAACCAAAGAAAGTGGTGTCCCAATTGCAAAACATATAAGTTTAGTGTCTAATAGCAAAACTTTAGGGGACGATTCGGGAGAAGATCAGACACCGGTGGGGAAAGAAATTGCGACGAACCCTAAATTTGAACCAGGTTTGAATTGATCATCATTATACAGTGGTTTGACATGGCGTTTCGATCTGTGTTCGATGCTTCCTTCATTAAAGCTGAATTTGAGAAAGCTGGAATCAATACTCACTGTATCCCTTCAATTTGGAAGTAGAGTCTCTCCGTCCCTCTGTGTGTGTGCTAATATTGAGTTTTTTTTTTGGATTAATGTATTGGATAAGTTACTAAATTACTCTTGTAGGTATGTGATACAGAACCCTAATTGTGACTGGCCAGAGATTCCTTCATTACCTTTAGCAGCTTACTCATTGCTTTCTTCCAAGTTTAAACCCTGCACTTCCATCGTTGACTCCGTTCTCGATTCCACTGATCAAGTTACCAACAAGCTCCTCATTAAGTTGCAGGTATTTTCGCTCATTCTTCATTTGTGTATTTTACCTTGAATACATATATCCATAATTTTCGTTTTGCGGTTACACATAATATTGCAATAACATATTTGTGCTTCTAGTTCGGCCATCATTGTCTATTTCATGCAATACTATCTCGTCACTGAAGAAGTTAGTCCCTTATTCCACCACAAATGCGATACTTTAGTTTTTGACGTTAACCATAGTAGTTTTCAAATGCAAAGTCGGTATAGGTTTGGTTGCAAATTAACGACAAGATTAAACTATATGCAGTACTTTTATGAGTTATGAGTTCAAATTAGTTGGGAAGTTTCCTTCCGGACTAGGATTTCATATCAATTTAGTTGGTCATGTAGGAGAATATGATTTGCCTCGTAATAGGAAAAACTTCCACAAATGCTGATATAAATGGTATAAAATTGTACTCTTTCCATGAAATAGCCTTCCTGGTGTGGTAGTTTGTTGAGGCACTTGTGTTACTCCAGTGAATGTGTAAGGTTTCATGCCATTTTGTTTTCCTTCTTGCTTTTTTCAGAATGGAGCATTTGTTGAAGCTGTGATCATGAGATATGATAGCAGTTTAGGGAAATATGGAGGCAAGCCTCGTCCTGGTGGTCCAAGATCAACCTTATGCATATCCTCCCAGGTAGATCTTTACTCCTATGCATCCTTCATAATGCTGTTCTCTGTTGGTTTGAGTTCTGCTGTTTGTAGATCCAAGCAACAATCAGTTCTCTACCACCTCTTTCTTCAACAAGACATTCTTCAGTATATCCATCTGTTATAAATTTGATTTCTTCAACACAAATCATGTATTCTCTTTAGCCTGGATATAGGTTGGTTGCAAAATGGGCTGCAAATTCTGTGCAACTGGAACCATGGGCTTCAAGAGTAACCTCTCGACAGGAGAGATTGTAGAACAGTTGGTGCATGCTTCACGCTTATCTCCCATACGTAATGTTGTTTTCATGGTAAATAATCTGCAAAGTTGTTTTACTTGAAATTTATGTAGCTACAAGTCTACAACTGATAAAGTTTGGAGATTGCATTATCCTGATATTATCATTTTGTGGCCAGGGAATGGGAGAGCCATTGAACAACTACACTGCATTAGTAGAAGCTATCCGAGTAATGACAGCATATCCATTTCAGCTTTCACCCAAGAAAATAACCGTGTCAACGGTATGCTCCACCTAGCATCCTCTATATAATCTTTTAATGACATATCTTGATTAAATTTATATTATTCTCGTAGTCCTGCTACCATGCATTAAGTTTTAGTCCCTAAAAGTGCCACTTATGTAGAAAGGGATGCATCCAACATCTTTGAGGATCAAACTGAGCTCATATCTATTTTATTTCATAACGACAACAGTGAACTTTCTACTGGTCTGTTGCCTGTGACTAGTAAAAAGGCTGTATTACTGTTTATTGATTTTTGGCTGATTTATTAAATCAGCATCAGGTGTCAGCCAAGCCTAGTGCTTTAGATTTGATACTGTGGTCAACGAGATCAAAGTTTGATCAAGGCTGTTGGCAAAACATGCATCATAATACATATATTGAAGAGTTAGTTTGTGTCCAATTTCTTGTAGGTTGGCATAATTCATGCAATAAACAAGCTCCATGGTGACTTACCAAATTTGAACCTAGCAGTGTCTCTTCATGCACCAGTTCAAGATATCCGATGTCAGATAATGCCTGCAGCACGAGCTTTTCCTTTAGAAAAACTTATGGCTTCTCTGGCAGAATATCAAAAGAAAAGGTGTGGTGATGCTTTAAACCTGCTGGAATGTTACATGGTAGTTTTCGCTTTTTTCTTAAATAAAAAAATTACTAAAACTCATCTGCTATTACTTTTCAGTCAGCAAAAAATTTTCATCGAGTACATAATGCTTGATGGGGTGAATGATGAGGAGCAGCAAGCCCACCAGCTTGGCAGATTGCTTGAGACATTTGAAGTGGTGAGCTCCTTGCATTGAACTCGGCATCATTTACATTATACATGCTTCAACAATTTTACAAGCATTCAAATTTGTTCTTCAGTTATTATGCTTATTCTTATTCTTGGCCAATAGGGGTGGAATTAGAGATGCTGAAGTTGGCCCATGGGCATAATTGTGTAGGTTTGTGGTGGGTAAAGGGCTATGATAATGGATCAAAATTTTGATATGCATAATTAATAAGTTTGGTTGGAGTGTGAATGGGATGAGTGAAACTGTGAAACTCATGTGCCACCTATTAGACACGCTTACACGCATGCACATAAAGTGCACCTTCACACAATTTCTGCTTGCCAGTATATCTTCATTGACAGATACTTGTAGAGGACAAATCAACTTCTCTTGTCATTTTTATAGTTCTGAAATTATTACTATTTGCTACAAGTTGCTCCCCCAAAACCCAAATTGACCAAGAGTAGAAAATAAATATTTACACTGCCTTTCTGCTACAATTAACTAAAGAAGAAAACAATAATACTACTCCATATTATGACGAAAAGAGGTGTCACAAAATTTCCACACACACACAAACACATATATATTTCAATGTTTAAAGCTAAATCAAGCTTCTTACAAAGCGAAACAAACCCCATCAATTTAGAAGGGAAAGAGATAGCTGCTTGTTGCGTGAAGATTATGATGAAACAAGGTGATGGTAGTTTAATACCATAACCAGCCCTTGGGCAACCCACTGGAACGTATAAGGGAGGAAAGTTGATATTGGTGCCACCAAAACAACCGATTTGAGATACACTTTTGTCTAGCAACCCATTCAAACACATATGTTAAGAAGGTTGATATGGGTGAAACCATAACAATCCCTTTGAGATATTTTGGTCTAGTATGGATAATAAACGGGTGTAATTGGTGGGTTGATGGGGCCATGTGCGGATTTTGCTAGCTAGATACCAATATGGCGTTTGATATGGCAACTCATTGACAACTTCTAAGAACTGTAGAAAAGTAAGTTATTGCTGTTTTTTTATATAACCTAGTCTCGAACATTCTAGCCTTTGGTGATACGATCTTAAAGTTATATAAATTTTTTTGTGATATCTTCAATGCTACTATCTGTATTTATGGTTTCATTCTCCTTTTCTCAACATAAAAATAATTCCTCTTTCCCAATTATGATGTAAAAGCACACATTTCTTTTTGTTTGCAGGTGGTAAATCTGATACCATTTAATCCGATTGGCGAACTAAGTCAATTTAGAACCAGCAGAGACCAGAAAGTTACTAGGTTCCAGACAATACTTAGGAGTACCTATAATATACGAACTACTGTCAGAAAGCAAATGGGCCAGGATATCAGTGGCGCTTGTGGACAGCTTGTGATTGATTTGCCCGGCAAGAAATCTGCAGGTGTGGCTTCATTAACTGACATTGAAGATCTTCATCTTTAACCAGAATTCTAGGTCGATATTTATTCAGAATAGATGCTGACACTGGTTCTATGTATTCATGTACGATCTGAACAAGCTGATCATTTTTATTGATTACCAGTTTTACTCCAAAGTTTTTGCCTTGCCTTTCTGGCTAGTCTCATACAAGTTTCAACACATTTATGAAACTGGTATGATAAACATAGTAGCTAGTAGCTAGTAGCTTGCTCATTTTACCCTTCTCATTTACTATTAATTGAAATAAAAGTAATTAATATTTACCTATTTGTGAGATAAGCTCAGTCAAAGTATATGTTAGTTCTTCCTTTATCAATCATAATGCTCCAACTTGAAAATCAAATCAAAACTAATTTTCATTATTGAAGGAAGTTACAGGTAGATAATCATCACACGACTTAGCCGAGGATTTGAAGATGAATATTTTTGTTTGGGATGCTAACTTTGTCGATCTTAAAACTCACACAAGTAGAAGCATTTGTCACGGGGTCCACCACAGTTATTTCATAGCGACCATTAAATACTGAAACTTCAGAGCTTCCATTACTATCTGCTACAAGCTCAATGTCCCCAGTTCTCCATTCTTCCATTAGCCTGTCGATTAGATCCCCAACCGGTGTATTCTCCAATTTCTCATTGGTCATGCACATCACATCACAGCCATCTATAGATGCACCGGTCCATATTATAATTGCCTTAACTGCGGCATGAGAAAAAGATTCCCGTAGTATCTCCTCCAAGTAAATGACCTGTAGGCACTTCAGATTTTTAGCTTATTTGGTAGAAACCAACATCTTGTTATCTTAGGCTATGTTTGGCAACTAACTGTTGGCTAATAAACTAGTCATGTTTGGTAAAAACTAGCTAATAAGCTAGATGACAATGTAAAATGACATGTTTAAAAATTAATTGGAAAAAAGTTAAAAAAATCCCCTGGAGCTTATTGAAACACTAATCGACATAGCTTTTAAAAAGCTAACTTATGGCTAATTGAACGATTTTTTTTTCAAGAAACTTAAAATATAAGCTAGCTTATGGTTGCCAAACATGGCCGGTTGGAGAAATAGCAGACTATGATCTTCTATAGTTCATGAGAGTGTGATACCTGTAGTTCAGTTGAATTTTGAAGCGTTGGATCCATTTTAACATCCAACTCAGTTAGCCATATGGGTAGACCTGCTTGACTTAGTAACGACAGTGAACTTCTGACATAATGAAGGTCTATGGGCTCTGCACCATAATGAGATTCCAGCCCTATTCCCATTTTTATGCCACCATTTCCTGGATACAACTGAATCTCCTTGAGCTTTCTCAAGTATTTGTTGGGCGGTGCATCCTTGTCGTTCACATGTTCAGTGGTATTAAACTCATTCATGTACAAGGTTGTGTCTGGATCAATGTTATAGACTCGGTTATAGAACGTTGCTGATGCATTCTTATCGAGTCTCTTCTCAAAGAAGTGGTGGTGCAGATTCTCATTCATAACATCCCAACCAACCAGCCTTCCTTTGTATCTTTTGACTACGGAATCAACTCTTTTATTTGCTGCTTCTAACAGTTTTTCAGGTGAAAGGGCTTTCACCCACTTCTGCTGGTACTTGATGTCATCCCACAAGATGGTGTGACCTCTAACAATTATGCCATTTTCATCAGCAAACTTCAACATGGCATCTGGATCGGTATAGTTTTCCTGGCCCTGAATCTTCTCGGTGTAGTACCATTTCAGCTCATTGTGGAAATCAGCAGCTGTGAATTTTGAGGCAAACCAGTTCTTGTAAGCTTCATTATTCAGGATTCTATGGGTCATACCACAACCCCAGTGGAAATCTGAGGTAAGCTGCTTTATATAAAGTCTAGCGCCTTTAACTGCTGTTTTGTTTGCATAAGTTATCTTGAAAATCAACTCTGTTTTACGTCCCTAAAAAGAGAATTTTCATTAAAACATATCATGCAATAAGCTATATATATATATATATATATATATATATATATAGGGTCAAGTTAAGGGGAAAACCGCAAAAAAAATGAAAAACTGAGGAACACCCTGGTAACCGTTGATTTGGACGGCATGCACATGTGCATAAAAGTGATTTGTAAGCAATTTGTCTGGTATGCGTATGTGCATAACACGCACATGTGCATATAAACCAAGAAACAACTTTAGTTACTTGTATACAAATGTGCATATCGTGGAGGTGAATGGTTACCAGAATAAAATGTCCCATGTTGAAAAAGCCACAGAGTTTTAGAAGTGTATGATAGTTGTACTTCTTAATTAACTAAATGACAGTTTCATCCTTCATAAGGGTGAATCGGAAAGTAGACACTTTTGAAGGTCAGACACTTATTTTGGGACAAACTAAAACAGAAATGTGGACTATATTGGATGGAGGGAGTAAACAACTGCATAGATTTAAATAGTTCAAACTCCATAGCTCCTTCAAATCACCTCATTTATTTTTTTCTGTTGGTAAGATCTCCATTCTTGTTTGGTGAATGGACTGAATAAGATGTTTTCATCCCAGTCTTTAACTGTATTCTTCCCCTGCATTGGTGGTTCAATGACAAATCTGATTAAGAACAAATAAACAACAGCAGATGCAACAAAACATAAATCTAATACTAATTTCAACAACACTTGGGTTAGAAATTTGATTTAGTTGCAAGTACCCAAAAGAGCTCTAGCTGCTTCTAAAATCTTGAACCAATGGTAAGATGACATAAAGAATAGAAGCACTCCAAGAAACTTGAACTTGCCTTAGCTGTTGCATACTGGCCAAAACTATCCTCATTCTCCTGGGCTCGAGCTATATCCCCTGGATCGAAAATCACAAAGATACATTAAAGCTGCACCATAAACCAACAATCACACACACAGAGAAACACCACCCAGAAACACACAGTGTTAACCTAGGTTGAACAAAATGCATGGAAGAAGAAAGATGGTGAGAATCTTCATGAAGTTGGTGAAAGTTTTAGGTCTAAGATCCAAAAGCAATGGGGGTCACCATCTTATCTTAAGAACCACATGTAAATAGGATCTTTTTTTATACATTGAATGATTTTAGCTTTCTGGGTGTCTCTTTTGAGCCATTTGTTGTTGTCTGTCCTTTGTTTTGGACCCCAAATCAATGTGAATGCAGAATATAAATAATGGTCATCCATACGCTGTTGTCAGTATTAGGAATAGTGCCAGGATATATATTCTATTTACCAACAAGAAACATATGTTATTTTATTGATTCCGTAAATGCATGTGATCAAATGCAAACTATAAATTAATTCGAACACAATTCACGGCGAGAGTTCATGTTGACTTTTTGTATGATTGAACGGTGCTTTTTATGTTCTTCTAAGGCTGATCATATGGTTTTGCAGGCCTTATCACGGATCGCGGACATTGGTTTGGGTGAGGCTAGTGAGCACAAATAGAGTTGGCACACCACTTTTTAGGGACCGCCTGGTTATAGACATCGGTTGTAGGTCCATACTGCCCACCTCTAATGAGTTTGAGTTAACCCATCCATCTGGACCTGGTAAATGATAAATTGTTGTTTGTTTTGTATATGCTGAATGATAAAATTTAACTTTAAAGTTACGGGTATAACATTTGTTTGTTAACTTTCATATCTATCGATCAAAGATGTAAAAACACTGTGTTATGATATTGGGCATATATCAAAATAGAGTTATGACTTGGGGGCTGTTTATCTAATTGCTTTCCCGGTAAGCGCTTACTGATAGGAGTCAAACACTATGATTTATTTTGATGCGCAAGATTTTAGTACATCAAAACATATCGAATGCAACAATTTGCTAGGTAAGCGCTTACATGGGTAAGAGTCGTCATCCTCACTTACCGGGTAAGACTCTCCATCATTCTCATTGCTCTTACCCCGGTAAGATTCTTGGTCCTTCTCATGTTCATCCGATAAGGAAATTTATCCGGTAAGCAGTTACCAAAGTAACTGTTTAGTAAGCAACCCTTAGTGAATAAGTTCTCTATATTATTTGGCCGGTTGAAAACCGTAAGCAGATAGTCCTTTAGAAAAAGTAAATAAATAAGATGCATTCGTGATAATACCGCATTAGCTATTACATCGGTTTTCTCCTTTTTGTATATTTAATCAAAATATTTGAAGCATATAACTTTTATAAACGATAAATACTCACACACTTCATCTTTGGTGAAATTTGAATCCTTGATTCTTTAAGAGGTTAGACTTTACTGGTAACCTGTTAATCACCCTTTAAATTCTTTTTTAGTTATGAACCGGTCTATGATAAATGGGTTCCATACTTGGGGGTGTTTGGGATTTGCTTATTTGAAATAATTTGTGTTTTTCTATAAAAATACTTACCAACTTATTTCAAGTCATAAGAGTTTAATTTTTTTTAAAACTCCTTATCACCGGTTTGGAACCGGTATAAGTTATTTATCTAAACACTCAAGAATGCTTATTATCGGTACCATACCGGAATAAGTTATTTTTATAAGCAATTCCAAACAACCCCTTAATCTGCAAACATCATGACCAATTATTCCTCTCCATTTTTAGGAAATTCTCTAATTAATAATTGATTTACTTCAATCATTGCTTTTCTCATGACAAATTGTAAGTTATTTATAAAGTGTTAAAGTTGTTTTATAACATAATAACAAAAGTATCTGATGACTGATTTTTAAAATAATTTAGAAATATTCAGTAAATACAGAAAATAGATAATTAATCGTAAAAGCTAGAATTTAAAAAAAAATAGTTTTCAAGTAGCAACTATAATAAATAAAAATATACATCATACAACAACAAATTTATTTAAAATACATTACTAATTAATACAAAAGTCGTCAAACACAAATTAACTTATTTTATTTTTTTAAAATGTAAAAAAGAAAAGATAAAAACATGTAAGTTTTTCAACCAAATCCATCGATCGGTCTGATCCACGATTCACCCTTGCACAAATTAGACACCGGTAAGTGAAACCATCCTTATTCTTACATTTTGACTTTCTTTAGATTACCATTAAAATAGTTATTTATGAGAAAATAATCGATAAAATAAAAAGGTTTTAAAAACAGGGACGGATCTAGAGGGGTGGTTGAGGTGGCACGTGCCACCATATTGTTCCTCCGTGGTAAGGTGAAAAAATTAGGTTCGTGATAGGTGCAACCCTTTTGTTTTAGAAGGTACAACCGTTTTATATGGTGCCACCGTATCCAAAAATTCTTGGGTCGTACATATTTAAAAAGACTAGAAGGGTACTCGTGCAATGCATCGAAACACATCTCGATTTCAATGTTTCATTTTATTCTTTATTTATGTCGATATAATACAGTTTTATATGGTTTTGAGAAATCGATAATTCTTTTATTTTTGAATAAGATATATATTTGAAAATATTATTAAAATTTTTAAAAAATATATCAATATTAATATCAAATTAACTATTTAAAAGTTTTAATTATTTGTAATTTCTTTAATTCAAATTTTTTATTATAATTTAATTTAACGTAACAAAGTAATTTAATTTAGGTTTAACAATATAATTTTTTTATAAAGATAATCATTAAGTATTTTATTAAAACTCAATGATTATCCTAATTATATTTAAGATTTTTTATATTTGAAATAAGATGTTTATCTTGTATTTGATTATGTTTATCTGTAGTTAGTTACATTTATCTACAGTTAGTTACACGAATTCAAAGATAGAGCTTTAATAAGTTATACTTACGCAAAATTTACTTGTAATCTTGAATTTTAAGTAATATGTATTAACAGTAATTCGTGCATAAAAAATGATTTTTAAAAGTTTTTGTCAAATACTTTATAATATAGTATAGATGAACATCAATTTCATCTTGAAGTCCCCAGTTGATGGATTTCACTTGTGGTTGGATGTTGGACCCAAATTCCGCCAATAACCTCACAATCGACCAAATCCAAATTGAGAAACTTAAATTTTATATCTTTATAATCATTCAATTAATCTTTTTTATTTTTATATTTTTATTATATTAATATATTAAATAAAATATAATAAAAAAAAAACTAATATTTAACAAATTACATCCTTCGCTGATATCCTTTAAATAAACTAAATATAGATTTTTTTTTAAATTGATCATATCATCACATATACTAAATATATTACTTTTTTATAAATGATTTTTACACTTTATATCCTTACAACTATTCAATTAATCTCTTTTATTAAATTATTTTTGCCAACGGTGAGGTTATTTGGCGGAATTTGGCACATCCCGACGGCTATTTCTTTAACTGAATTCGCCAATTGAAGAAATTTGCCGCATCTTCGTGTCACTTGGTTCAAATTCAGATACAAGATGTAATAATCTTTTTAATTAATTGCTATTTGGTCTACTTACAAATTACACAAACATGTGTCAATTTCCTCAATAATGAGATGATATCTTTTATGTGCTTTGGAACAACAATAACAAGTATTAATCAAATAAACACTCCTGATGTCTGATTCATTCATATTTTGTTACAATTTGTATGCATAACCAGTACTATTACATGCTACGAATTCTGACTTGTTTTTGTAAAGAAAGCATCAATAGGAATGTGCTTATCATTTGAAGGAGAATGTTTCTGCTTCTTCTTGCCTTTGCTTTGCCCAACAATACTCTCTTTCTGCCTCATCCTGACACAACAAATAATTATTACTCCCTTCCTTACACTTTATGGCACCATTTAGGGTTTTAATTTGACAGATATTTTAATAATTTACTAATCTTGACTCATCTCCCAATTTTTGTTCCACCTCTTTTGGTGGAACAAAAAGGACACTCGTCATGTCATGTTCTGTCCAGGCCTAATTGTCGAACCAAACATTTGTGACTTCCACAAGAAGTACAAAGAATGGCAGAACCTTTTTTTTTTTTGAGAAAGAGGACAGCACCTCTGGCAAGTTTATGAATGGCAGAATTTTGATGATAAGGAAATTTAAAAAACAGCCCCTTTGACCAAAAACATGAAAGAGTTGGAAAGAATGCAACATGTTGAACACAATTAAATGATGAATTAGTCATGCATACCGATGCTTCAGTGGGAACTTCTTATAACTGTCCCCTGATTCTTCCTCCTCTTGCAGTTTCTCAGCAAGATGAAAATCAGAATGTTCTTGCCTTTCATCCACAAAACTGGGAGGCAATTCTACGCCACATAACAAACACTTGTAATTGTCCAACCATATAAATGGTTCTTCATGATTTGATGATGAAGGCTCCGTTTCGTTATCTGAAAAACCAATCCTCCTCGAGTGATCTTGGTTTTTGCCCTCCAAAGAATGTGTCTCTGTCACATGTGGATCGAATGCAGAAGATTTCGTCCAGTTTTCAACCAGTGTGTTCTCATTAATCTGTGACAGAAAGAAAAAAGAAACAAGTATATAGAGCTGATTTTTTAACTTACGGTTCAAATGGTTAAACTAATCACCTCAAATCAGAATGAAAGTACTACAAAATCCTACCACTTCTAATAGTTTCCTTGGGAATAGTTACTGATAGTCCACACACATGTATGAATGATAAACACAAGATGTAATGTTTTTAGCCAGAACTGAACTTTCTATTTATGCCACCCCCTCCAAACACGAAAATACTCCACTGAAAGGAGAGTAACTAATCAGTAATTATTGTACAAATATTCAATGGCAGTCGCTCAAATCCTGTTGATGATTTTAGTGCCATTAGGCCATTTGGTAACTGGATTTACAAGAGAATGAAGGGGTTCTTAGTTAAGCTACAATATGGGTTAGCAAGTGCAGGGTGCACACTTGTATAAGCTAACTTGGACTGGGATCACTATTGATCAGTCAGTAATTACACACTGATGATGCTGATGGATAATAACTGCTCGATAACCTCTTATAACTCCCTGATAACCGCTGGTAACCCTGGTAAGTGCCTACCTTTAAAGAATTTTCATTCTCGTTTTACATACGTAAAACTAATAACTTCTGTGTTTGGCTGTCATTTTATTGCCTTAAAGCAGAGTGTGATTTTGGATCATCCTCGAGTAAGTTTTGTTATACCCAAGGCAAGTAATAGGGTTGAAATATTACTTAAAGAAAAGATCCATTCACGATCCAAGATCAATGCAAGTTTTTCTTTTAATTTCTCACGTAACCCCGATCACAAAATTTTCTAACAAATCCTACATGAAATAATTTTGCCATATGAAAAGTATGTTCTCCAACATACACATTGGGGGTTTACCGATGAATATTTGAAGTGTGGCTTCCTACCATCTTTTTCACTATTCAAAATCTTAACATGTAACAGTACCAAAGCAATAAATGGGTTTTTTATTCTAAGTTTGCATGTTTTCTGACAACAGTAAGCCAATGCATCATGCAGTCACTTCATTATCAATACCTGGTCTTTGTACCCATTGCCTTCAAGTTCATTATGCTCTGCTGCTTTCTCATTATTATCGCTTGAAGAGCAAATGTTCTGATCAAGCTCTGATAAATGGTCACAAGATGGATTAGTATATGCATCGCAATGTGCTTCTCCATAGCTGTCTTTAACATCTGAGTGCTCTTCATCCGCAATTTCCCTGTTACCATCTCCCGGTATGATAAAGTTGGAAAGTGTTCTTTGCATAGGATCAGATAGAGTACCACCACCCTTATCTTCATTGAAATGAGACATGCGTAGTCCTGCAAAAAGGCACCATCATTCTATGTTTAAAGTTGTGACGAGTTTCAAATGTAAAATGCATCCAAAGAAATAGAGAACATAAGGACATCAGAATTGCTATAGTTTTCCGGCAAAGGGAATTTCCTATGTTGATGGCATTTCTATCCCGTATAATAGCAATGCGCTTGTTATTTGATTGTAAAACATGCCGACAGCACAACTAAATCCTAGTATCATTTCTAGCATATTATAAAATAATGTCTGGTCCTATTAGACATTATTAACATGATTGTATCAATATATATATACATATATATAACATATATGTGCATTATAACCACAGCACCTACTAATAAACAGTAAAACTATTTTGCAACGCTGGAGGTAACAATTGGAATATTTAAACCCGACTAATAGAGTTAATTTACCATAAGAGCAATCAAGACAAGACTTGGATGGAAGAAAGGATCACTGGGGCATCCATAAGACATAAGATGAATAGGACAAACTGCTCATTATCACCAAATTACACTGTTTAATAAAAGGTGGATTACGGGGAACCACACACCCTGCTGGTTACCAGACCTATTTATTCTCATGCATACACATGACGCAATCATTTTCTTCTGCTGGAATCACATGGGATTTTTCTTTTTCTTTTATTCTTTTTGCTGTGAAAAGAATGCAACTATTATTGATTTTCAACCAAAGTTGATCGGAACACCTACATGCCAATTGATGATTACTGCTATGATTCGACTTTATATTCTGACAAATATGATATAAATTTTATCAAATAAACATATAAGGGCACGACTTGTCTCCTTACCAATCAGTCTAAGTGATACAGGAAGTTCAGGCTTGAGAAGCTTTGAAGCATGTTTGAGTATATCTTTACTTGACCATATATAACTCTGCAAAGTCACAGCTCGAGTTCTGACCTGAAACTTGCAAACTCGTAAATTTGGGAAAAATATTTGATTAAACCATTTCCCTCTACACTAAGAAAGCATGAAACTGTACCTCGAACGATGCAGTCTTCAGTTTCAGTGTCAGTGTCCGCCCACATAGACCTCCTTTCTCCATGTCAGCAGAAAGCATCTCTGCAAGTTCAACTGAAAATAGAATTAAACAAGTATAAGTTTCTGTAACATATAAAGTAATTGCATATAAACCAAAGGACTTGGTCTAGTGGTATCCAAGCCTTTGGCCTTCTACGAGGCCAGGAGTGCAATCCTCACCAAAAGTGAGGAGAGAGTGTAAGTTTATTTGTTAATTTGCTGTATATAAATATTATATACTTCAAAAAAAGTAATTACATATGAGAGTTCTGCGTTACCATAAAGTAACGTCATTTATTGTAATGAGCTAGAGTCAAAGGTGGATAAAGATCAGATTTCTCAAATATAGACAATACATAAAAGACCTCAATACCAACGTCTTACAACATGAATGAAGAAACAATTTCTTGCATGTCTTTTGTTTTGCCAACTTCTTTTCTTCTATTACTTATATTACTCAGAGACAGGATACAAATGAAAAGATCTTTCATAATTAGTCAGGCAAACTGAAAAAGTTCCATAATGTAGTATAATCTAATACAATGTGCATCATACAGAATGGGGAACTCTCATATCTCACCTAATTTCTGATAGAAGAATGCCTCATCCTTAGTGGCAGAAAATGTTCTCTCATTGCTCATACTTTTCCGTGATCTAACTTGAGGTGCATCTGTTCCTCCAAGGCCTAGACCCACAGATATAAAAAAGTCTACATCATGCAAAAAGTAGAGTTAGTATCATGTCTAACAAAAACAAAAAAAATTCAAAATGCAAAATTCATATCTAAGCTACTGACAAGTATTTAAAAAAAAGCCACATAGTCAAATTTTCTTTCACAAAACAAGAATGAAAGACTTGCTACAGACTTGCCAACAAAAGACCTAAATGATGCAGTATGCCTGTCCTAGCATCATGAATAATGATTCACAGAAAACAATTGACATGAAAGGTGAAAGGAGATATATTTGTGTTCTGCACTTCATATGCAATTGAGAGAAGACAGGAAAAGGATATAAAACCTCTGGTGATCCTACAATGACTAACAGCATAACCAATCTCAGCAGCAATCAAATGATAATTCTTAGTTGTAAAGATCAAGGGAACTAAATTAGTATCATTCCACATCAATAGGACAGAGTGGATGAATTTATGTCATACAAACAAGTCCCTTTTTGGTTGCGTAAATTCCTTATCATTTATAATAACTGATTACTTTTCCATGGTCATCCTTCTTAGCCCAACCCAAACTAGTGAGATACAGGCTATTGACACAGATCAACCTACACACCTGCTGATGAAGGAGAGAATAGTGCACAAAGGAAAGAGCCTTTTTGCAGCAAATCTTCACATGTCTTAATCTCAAATACATCTTTTAAGATATGCTCTGTGACTTTGCCAATACCTCCAATCTGTAAAAGAAAGAATCAAATGTGTTTGTATGTAAGACCAAGCCATATTCAGAAGGTAGCAACTATATTTAGAGTAAACGACAGACAAGCTATTCTATTAACAATAACTCTCTGGGTTATCATGTAGTACCTTCCGTATAGGAAGTGAGGATATAAATGTCATGATAGCAGCCCGATCATTAGGTAAAACGAACTGACCATTTGGCTTATTTATATCTGAACATACCTGCTTAAAATTTGGAAGGAAACAGAAAGAAGTATTACAACAATATCCAAGAGAGTATTTGCTACCATCAGCCCCCATCTACAAAATATACATAAATATTCACCAAAATATCTGATTTATTAATTAAGGAATAATTCTAAGTCACCATAATTTAAAACCTAAAATAGACTTTCTTCGAGTGAAAGCTATAGTGTGATCATCATTACATATATTTATAATATTTATTCTGGCATTTGAATTTTATTATCACCTATCCTTGTGTTGCTACCTAAACACCTGAGCATACCATTTACAACCAGCTTTCCTACCAAACTGCTTACTCATTGGGACCCGATAAGGGTAAGTACTTGATACCACCAAAATGAGTCATTAATGTAGTCTTCTCCGCTATCAAGACTATCACCTTGTACTAACAATCCGAGCATAGCAAAGAACTTCCCTACTCCTTTCACTAAAAGTTCTTTTATTATAGTATGATCTAATGACTTTTATCTAGAGTTAAGCTGGCAGTAACAAGGTTTCTACACTAAACACGCTAGAAAAGTAATGAGTACCTGAAATGACAAAAAAGTATGATTTTCAAACTTGAGGGTTATGCATTGGAAGTAGCAAATATGCAAAAATGGTAAATTGAAGCAAGTGTAGGCTAAAGCCATTGTGAACGAGAATGTCCTTTTAACACCAGTAAAAGACACACAACTCGGTTATCAATAAGCATCATTCCTTCAGCTCACAACCTACCACACCTTTGCAAGTAAGCGGTTAGGAGAAACTCCAGCACTACATGTCAAGCCAGTAGCTTTATAGACATTTAGTCTAAGTTCTTCAGCGACCTTCAGAAATACAAACAAACAATGAAAAAGGACTTAGCATTACATTTTCGACATATATGTGTATAAATGAACCAACCAAATTCTGCAGGTAAGGAGATTAGGAGAAGGAGGATGTGCAAAGAAAGGAGAATCAATGCTCCAACTTGGACTTATATTGATGCTAAATGCTGTTGTCAAAGTAATTCATGAAGTAAGGTTCTTCTAAATTGAACTTACTTCTTCACCGGTCATACTCCTTTCCTTGCAAACTTTTGTAATATCCAGGTATGCCTCATCAAGACTAGCAGCCGTGAAATTTGGATCATATTCCTGGTAGACTGGCTCAAAAGGAACATTATAACACAGTTCATAGAAAAACTATTTACGGTGAACCTACGGAATTCCCAAGAAAGTAAAGCAGCTGACCTTTTCTAGTTAAATCACTATAGTATGTATATTTCTTAAAATCAGTGGGCACAAACACCAACTCTGGACATAATTTACATGCGATGAACCCAGGCATTGCAGCACGAACCCCAAATTTTCGTGCCTACAAGGTGGAAATTATGCCCTCAAGAGATGTGACATAGAACAACAGAGGTGACTCTGTATGGGAAGGATTGCCAAGGTGAAGCAACAGAAAAGGAGTGCAGAATTTTAAACCTCATAATTCGCAGTAGAGATCATAGACATGCTGCCAACAGCCATTGGCCTGCCTTTTAATGAGGGATTGCTCAAGGTCTCAACAGCTGCATAGAAGGCATCCATGTCTACATGCAACCAAATCCTTGATAGATCACGTGTAGCTTCTAATTCCACAATTCTTTTATCAGCAACCTACATTGACGCAAGAATGAAGAAAGCAAGAGTCCATCTTCAGCACAAGCAGTGGACTGACATCTCTTGTAATGCTGATACAGTGAGACTCTACATGAACATGTATCCATTTCAAAGAACATCAAAGCCATTATAAGCACGACTCAGATGAACTTATAACAAAGAGCCTTACTGTGGAGCAACAGTGCAACAGTAAATACACTAGCAAGATCTTTGTGCTTATTAGTGCAGATGGTTGGCATGATGGTCATAATATGGTTATTATTATATGGCATCAACACGAACACGACAGCTGATTTGGATTTAGTACATGAGAAGCCAACTTTAATTGTAAACATGAGAAACAAGGGTCTAGCTAAAACCATAATTCACATGACCAGCATATGAGAAAACATCAATCATAAAGTCATAATCATGGAATAGCTACAAAGGTTCATTAATTCATAGAAAAATGTCATACAAAGTGGGGAGATGCAGGGAGGGAAGAAAGTAAGCTCAAAGACCCAAATAAAGTTTACTTGGTAAGTATAATTGAATGTTGTTTGAATTATAAAAGTTTAACCTGTAGAAGAAATAAAAAAAATTTACTCAATGCAATTTCTCAAACATAAGAGGAGCATACAACATAATAAAGATTTTCTTGCAGTTACCCTCTGGTAATGAGATATATCAGTAGCTTTTAGCTTTGCACACTGAGCACGCATGTTCTCGATCTTCTGTTTCATATAAGCCTCTTTTCTTTCCTCATTCTCAAAATACTTTGATCCTTTGCTCATCTCATACACTACTCTTTGCACTTTTTCCTTGTCAACCCCATCCATACCTACAAATGTCATAACCTCCGCCCAGTGGATATAATTAAGTAGTTTACATTTTGATTTTAAAGTGGCAAATAAAATAACTTTTAACTTCAAATTTATGATTTTGACATGGTTATGGAGTAATACTGAACACTTCATTAAACCCTTGGAAATCGTTGGAGCTAAGAAGCTCATTAAAAAAAATCTATTTCAAGCTTAAATTTGAAAAGTAAAGATATCAAAGTCAAGAAAACAATCTTAAGAGTGCGAAGTTACTTTCTACATATAAAGTTCACATAAAGATATTGATTACACTTCATTTATAAAAATTTCGTTAACCTAAGGTTCCTTGCCATAATCTTGCTTAAACTGTGCGTACGTAGAACGTTTACAATAATATTTTACATACAAAAAAACACAGTTCAAATTTCATAAAGTTCATGGAGCCTGCAATAATTGAGATTAATTATGACATCCGGTTCAAATCTGTTTGTGAAAACGGGTGATTTAAGCGTGAAATGCATATAGAAATGATCGCAAATTGAAAGACACGTTTATTAAAAAAAAAAAGTGGAATACCTGCTTTGGCATTCGTATAAACAGTGTGGTAAGACTGCCATGGCCGCAGAGATGACGATGATGATGTTTCTTCGCTCTTCGCCATGGACTCTTTCAATTCAATTTCGCTAAAATTGAAGAAAGTCGCAGGACAGAGTAAGGGGGAAAAGGAGAAACCGCGAAACTTGTCGACGAAGGACTGGGCTCTCTATATATGGATTCTTTTTCTCAGGGTTGGGCCTAAAATTGAAGTCATCAGCTATTTTTTAAATAAACAAAAGCGTTGTTGGTCTGGAGTCTGGACATGTCTTTATATAAACATAAATGTACAAAATAGCAGTTTGTTTTCATAATTTTTTTTATTATAGGATTGTACTTCTAGTTTTTCATGGTCCCCCCGGATCGCCCGGATCCCACGAGTGAATCGAAAGTTGTATTATAATAATGTATTTTTAAACTATTTTTTATTTGAACATTGTATTTTGAAAATTTTACCCATTATAGCATCGGATAATCTTTTGATTTAAATTTACTCATTATACCAGGTTTCCCATATCACCTCATTGTTCATGTAGGTTGTCAACATGTACTGTAGTGATATGACTTTCTTATTACAACATTATACTTTTAAAATTATTTTTATTATAGCATCTACTAGTTTTTATTAAACAATGTACTTTTAATTTTAATATTTAGATATTTTACATGTTATTTAATAAATATATTAAGTGAATTAAAAAAATCTAGATTATTCATTAATATACTAATATTAATAAAACTAGTAGAAGACAACTTATCTCGCTAATATTTTTTTAAAAAATATATGTTTTTTGAAAAAAAAAAAAAAGAATTGTTTCTTTTTTACCAAAAAATATTATCTTTTAAATAATACATTATATTTGTTTAAAAACTCTTACTTGACGTATAAATATATTAAATTAATTAGATTTTTTTAAATTATTTATTAATATAACAATATTAAAAAATTGTAGAACACGATTCATTTCGTTAATATTTTAGAGAAAACTTTAAAAGATATGTATKTTTTTGAACAACATAAAATAAGAAGTGTTACTTTTTTTACAAACAAAATATATCTCAAAAATAATTTAGCATATTTATTTAAGAAATATTTTACTCTAAAATATTTAATTTACATGCAACTTCATAAGAAAAAGTCAAAAAAAATTAAATGTTTTTTAAATCATAGCAATGAAAAATGAAAATTATTAATAATAATTTGAAATAGGTTTTTATTTAATTTAATTAAGTCATCAACATGATGTGTCATCCACATTACCTCATTAAAGTCATACAAGCAAAAAAGAGTCAAGAGGTTAACCGGTTAAAAGGTAATAGGTTATCTATTGCTATAATGAGTAAAAATTTTAAAGTGCGATGTCATAATAAAAAATAATTTAAAAGTACATTGTTGTAATAAATAAAAATAAAAGTAGAATGTTATAATAAAAATTTTTATAAAAGTATGTTGCTATTTCATGCATTTAACTCTTTATATAATCAAGCATTCTCTTAAATGTTAATGATTATCCTAATTATATTTTAGATTTTTTATATTTAAAATGAGATTTTTATTCTATATTTGATTATATTTATCTATAGATGGTTACACAAATTCAAAATAAAGTTTTAATAAATTGTACTTATGCACAATTTACTTATAATTTTAAATTTTAAGTAATATGTACCAATAATTATACTTTATGCATTAAAAATGGTTTTTTAAGAGTTCTTTATCAAACGCTTTATAATATAGTATATATAAACTATTGAATTTTGAGAAAATATTTACTTATATTCTTTTAATCCAATAAAAGTTACTTGTAACCGGTTAAAAAAGTTTTAAAGAAAAAAACACTTAGATCAGTATTATTGTTTCCAAATTCTACGGTGTTCAACCTCCTGTCACAAAGTGACATCACTTTCCCCCAACCATTTCTTGTCGCCGCCTATCATTGTCCTTTCTCCATACCGTCCATCATCGCCATTGGCCCCTGCCACCGATCTCCCTCTTTTATGTCTGTTTTTTTATCTTTCTTTTATAACAATTTAATGAAGCACTTGTAGACATATAAAAAAAGATGGAGAACAAAAAAACAATCAAAAAGAGGGAGGTCGATGGCAAGTGCTTACGTTGGCGATGACAGTGGTAGCGAGCTGACGGCGATGAGACAATGAGGGGTTTAAATGACGTAGGATTTGAAATGGTAAAATTGATTTAAGTTTTTTTTTAACTTTAAAACATATCTAGCCAGGTTTCTGTTATCTTTTTTGGGTTAAACTGATGTAAGTAACTAATTTTCAGAAGATCGATGGTTTATTTACTAAAAAAATATGGATTTAATCATTCAAATTGGGAAAGTTCAGTGGTTTTTCATCAAAAAAATAGTTTAGAGACTTGATCATTCAGAATGAGAAAGTTCTTCGGGTTTTCTGAACTTTTCCCAAAATTAAAATAGACACCGCATGTTGTTTTTTTTAACCATAGATATCCAGGTTAGCTTGCATGCATCGAAACTAATCTTACGGGCATGGAGAACAGTCAGGAAAATCCCTAATGACCTTACAAGACTCAAACTGAAGACCTCTAAGGAGGATCCCCAAAGGCATAAACTTTATTGATGGTTACACTGGTCCCACAAGATTTAGATTTTATTAACTGACTGGAAATATAAGATTTTGACCAAGAAAAAATCCATCAAAAATAGTTGTTTATCGATGTTGTGAATTAATTAAGCATTAAATGAGCAACCAATAATAATCATTTCTTTCGCTTTTAAATCTGTCAAATGAAAATTAAAAATGTAATATATTATCGTATGACTTTTTCATTGTTAAATAGTGTTGATTTGGTAAGTTTGTATTTAGTTGCTCATCAAGAGGCTGTTTATCAAATTTTTTATTAAGTCATGTATGGATAAATTTGTTTATTCAAATAAATTTGTCTGTCTGGATAAATGAGTGTTGTTGTTTATTTTTTTATCTGAACCAACAGTCTGAATAACATAAATGACCGATTTACCCCCCAATATTAATTATTTGAACATCAAAACAAAAAATCATAAAGAGGCCGACGATGGGGTGTTTCATATGGGAAGGAGGCGGTGCTTTAAATAAGGGGTAGATGGGTCATTTTTGTGGCTGAATGAGGACAATACACCATTTCTATCTATGCGATTAAGTCATGTTCTGTGCGAATAAGCCGTAAGTAAACAACTCAAATGAGTTGTGCGAATAAGCCAGATAGACCAATAAGTCTAATTAAGCCGCAAGTAAACAACCCCCAAATGAAAGGTCCGGTAAGAAACTCTTACCAAATAAGACGACTGGTAAGCAATATAAGTAAAGGCCCCTTAATTTGAGTAAATTGCAAAAACTGTTCTTTTCGTTTGTTGAAAGTTATGGTCTCGTTCCTCGATTTCATTTAATACATGTCTATTCTTATTTTTTTTCTTTTTGTTTTGGTTCTCGTCTCAACCTCTACAGGTCATCATCTTCCCGTCCACATGAGGGGATTTTAGACTTTTAGAAGGCGTTTACCAAACGCTTACCAACAAAAGTCACCATCCTCACTTGTCTTTTCATGTAATATACTCACTTATCAAGATGGATATTAACTAATCTTTATCAATTACTTTTTATACATATAATATTATATTATATTTTTTTTTTGACTAACAAATATTTATTTTGACTAAAATATTAAGGTGTTGTCTGTTTTTTTTAAATGTTTCGAAATATGAAAGTCTTATTTCACTTCATATTGATCAGAAGAGTTACTGAAATTTGAAAACAATATCAATTATAATTATATTGTTTGTATTACAAATTGATAAATGTATGAATGCTTATAATTGTCTATTTTAAGAGGCCGTTGGTAGATGTTGAATGATTGTCGATTAAAACATTACGTTATATATATATATATATATATATATATATAGAGAGAGAGAGAGAGAGAGAGAGATGACAAATCAAGTACAAACCATGCAAATGTTACAAACTGAACGAACCAATTAAGACATTACCTTATATATTTATGAAAAATGTTTATTTATTATGATTTTAATATTTATGGAAGATGATTATAGTTCATTAATTATGGTCAACACTTTGCAGTATGAAACAATCGATATATTTATGAAACCAAATATTCGTTAGACGAAATGGACGGTTGAGATTTGTTTGTATAGTTGTAACATTTACATGGTTTGTATTTGATTTGTTCTCTAAATAATTTAGTGAGATATAATTTACAGAAAGTAATAATTAGTAAGAGTATATCACGTTGCAAATATGAATTACAAACGCAACATTAATTGTATTGTCAAACAACATGATGAGCGTTTATATCTACAAACAACATGATTAAGCATGGGATCTATCAAGTCTAGATTAGGTTTTCGTATTGAGAAAGGTGAGTGTTTGTCGGGATCAACGAGCTTGGCATATGTGTGAAGTGGGAGGGGTAGGTGTAACACCCCTAAAATTTGAAAATAGCAATAAATTTAAACCGTGGTGAAAACCAATCATAATACACAAATAAGAGTATTTACCCGAAAGGGTATCAATGTTTACAAGAAAGCACAACTATAAATGGCACTCCAAGCCCGGTCACTGACCCTTGGGCTTATCCTTACCATGCCCTTCTACACATATCAGTAAGAAAAAGTGTTAGGCTAACGCCTAGTGAGTTCAATCAATTTATAACAAAATATAGAAGCCACAGTTTCAAGGATGAGATATTTATAAAGATGCGCCTCCCTTAAATGGGAGTATGCTATAATTGAAGAACCGTAGCCCAATACAAGACAGTTTCAAGGGAGACCTGATTCCATCAAGTGGCGGAACACTAAGTAAGCCACTTCAAGATGTTGACGAGTAATTTACTTTAAGGCTTACCAACTGTGAGATTTACTTTGGGGCTAAGATAAGAACCTGAAAACTCCTTACTTAGCTGATCACAAAGATTACAAGATGAAAACTCCAAAACCCCTCGGTTCTCTAAAATTAAAGGTTTTAAAGCGAGAACATTAAAATTCCTCCCTTGTCCTGAACCAATAACATCAAGAAGA